TGGATTCAGTATGCAATCCTGGATATTATGTTAGTTTTTTGTTTTTCTCCGTATATAAGAACATATCCATCCATTGGAAAATCTAAAAAGGAAAGCCGAAAAAAAGCCATTTCTCCTATATACCTATGTAAATTTGTCGCCAAAATTGACGTATTCCTATCAAAATACCAAAAAAACAAAAATGGTGACCCCCATTTTTTATTACATATTCCGATGTAATTCGATTCAAAGAACACGTGTGTCAAAAAGTTTGGAAATTGGGAGATATGCCATTCGGTATCGTGTTACCTTAAGGATGTTCGCTACTTTTTAAAAGACTATTCTGAAATGATAGTATATAAATAAAGGAACTAAAAAAGCAGAAAAAAACGAAGGGTCCGTGTGCTTGTTTTCAAGATAAAAGCCATTGAAAATTTGGAGGGAAATGATTCTCTCTAGATTTTTCATAATTTTAACATTGGCCACTTTTTTGTTTCAAAAACTATGAAAAAATAACAAGGAATTTATAAGATTTTCAAATATGGCTTTTTAAACTATATGTAATAAAATTATGAAAAGAAAAGTAGGGGTTAGTGGGCAAAATTTTTTAATGGCAATACATGGATAAAACCAGAGGATTCCAAAAATCTGGAAGAAATTAAAAAACAAGAGAAGCAAACATCATTAAAAGACTTTCAACGTAGAATTCAATTACCATCAGTTACACAGGTAGGACAATTCAGTAAGTGCATTCATAAATGCAATTGGGACATGTTTTTGATCACATAGTTCTTCCTTGAACCCCTATTAAACTTTCGGCAAATGACAACTGGAATATGATCTACACATGGCTGTAACTGCAAAAAGTGTATCAGTTTGTCTCCCTTGCAATTCAAATGGAGTTATTCTTAAAGTTCGTTAGATATTTTTGTCGATCTTCAGCATTTTGTAGTGGAAGCTGGTATCGTTAACAGTTACGTTCAGTCTGAGCCTGAGGTTCAATTTGTTTCTACATAACTTGCTCAAACCTTCTCAAATTGTATTAAACGTTAGCAGAAGCTTTTTTATGATAAGGGTAGATAAGGGGTCTAAATTAAAATCAATAGAATTTTTTAATAATTTGCCAAAATGTAATTTATATGTTGCTTTTTTCTAAAATATGATAAAAAGTATGGATAACAGAGCCTTTTTTCAAGCTTCAGGTTACGTAAAATTGTAGATTTTGTATAAACTATTAATGGAAAAACAAATTTGATAATTATCATAATGTGCTAACAGAAAAAAAATGGGTTTATGGGACTTGTTTTCTTGCTGTAAAACAAACTAGGTAAATTCCCTAAGCAATCATGTACAAAAGTAAAGTTATTTGATTTATCTCCCCTTATATGGCAAAGTTGATAAAAATTGAATCATACAATATATGTTCTGTATTTTTTTAAATAATTCTTTATAATAAGATGAAAACGCATTATTTTCTTTATCTAAATGAAAAATCTTACAAATAAATTTCATTCCCCTCTCAAAAGTTGTATATTTTATTAAGGATCTAGTCTGAGTTCTGTTTTTTTCTAGGATGGCCAAAGACATCCAATCTACCTTCAGAGATAATGTTTGAATTTTGTTTCTTCTCTTCATTTTACAGCATTTTACAAATAGATGGACTTAGTTCTCTGAGGTTAACATTTACATACAGTATGGGAATACATTTTTTAGACATCAATTTCGTTGCTAAACCCCCATGGAATGTTATGAAACTTTGACAGAAGATTGTTCAAAATAAAAAAAAAGCAACTGTGGGGGAAGGGGATTGCATTGAGGATTTTTTCTAAAGGAATATTCATTTGGTTAGAATTTTTGCAGTTAATTAGATTGGTTAAGATGCCAATACCATGGGCTGGGGTATCATTTTGTGTGCTTTATTTATTTTGTATTTGCGTTGTATCGTAGATCAAATTTATTTATTCAGTATGTTCACTGGTGTTACTATGTCTTTTGATTGAGTTAAGCCATTTCAATTGATATTTTATAGTGTGTTTTTCTATGTTGTGATGTTACACTATTGTTTCAGATAAGGGCGAAGGTTTGGTACCATTAAAACATTTAAACCCGCTGCAATTGTTTGCACCTGTCCTAAGTCAGGAATCTGATGTTCAGTAGTTGTCGTTTGTTGATGTGGTTCATAAGTGTTTCTCGTTTCTCGTTTATTATATAGATTAGACCATTGGTTTTTCCGTTTGAATGGTTTTACACTAGTAATTTTTGGGGCCCTCACTCATCCATCTAGTTCCATCCGATGGTCAATTCTCCATGCATTTTTCCATTAGATGGAAAATATTCCTTCAGTTTCAGTCAGATGGCAAAAATACCATCAGTTTTCCATCAGATGGCAAAAATACCATCAATTATCCATCAGATGGAAAATATGCCATCAATTTTCCATCATCATGAAAAAAAAATCCATCAAACATTTTCCATCAACCATTTACCAGTATTGATGGTTGAAAGTTGTTCCAATACTCCATCAACATGATGGAATTTTACTGGCATTTTTTCCATCACAAAATTCCATCATGTTCGATGGAAAATCTAGGGAAGGATTTATAGCTTGCTATTTGGTGTGAGCCAAGGCTCCGTGTTGAAGACCGTACTTTGACCTATAATGGTTTACTTTTATAAATTTTGACTTGGATGGAGAGTTGTTTCATTGGCACTCATACCACATTTTCTTATATCTATTTGCTTGCTGTTACCTCTGGTATGAAGTTGGTGTTAATGAGTTTTTCATAGCTTTATTTTTTGATGGTAGATGTAGCTAATAACAGATTTTTTTTTTATTTTACGACAACGGATAACACTTAAAGACTACAACTACAGACACCAAGTGATGATGAAAGGTCACATGGTCCAAATTTTCCATGTCAAAATGTAAACAAACTCAATCTGAATGTTCCTTCTGGAATTGAGATTAAAATTGTATCCTTGAATATTAATCCAATATTTGAGCAAACTTGACTAGCTAAAAGGATCAGCAAGTCATTTCTATCTACCATGGAATTTTTTTATAAAATTGGACAACCCAATTCAGAGTAATTGCTCCTGAAATGTCCTTTTATTGCAATAAACGGCCATGTAAAGGTGTAATTTTTTTTTACTTCAATTGCTTCATATTGATAAATATTAAAGCTTGAAAAAGGTATAGATTTCATTTAAGTCCATTTTTCTATGAATTTGTTACTTTTTCTTCCTTTTTTCCTGATTCATATGTGGCACCATCCCTTGTCCATTAAAATTTAGGGTGAAAAGTAAAGAATATGGTTTATGTATATACAGAATATTTCAACAAAAATATTTGTGGGCAAGCTAGGGTACATCACTAATGACGCAATTTGTGAAAATCTTTTTTTAACTGAAACAATTGGACATATTAACATTTGTTTTCATCAAATTTTTACAACATAATGGCACTACACTTGTAATAATTTTTCAGATTTTTAGAGCCAAAATTTTGAGCTTGTGAACCAACTCCTTTCACAGTTTTTGTCTCGCCTGCGACGAAAGTTGCAGTATGCGAGACACAGGTATTACTATCCGGCGGCGGCGGTGTAAACTATTTGTATAAAGCTTTATATTTCAGAAGGTAGAAGACCTGGATGCTTCATACCTTGTATGCAGATACCTTATGTTACGAAGTTTCTGTCTGTCATATGCCCATTGCCCTTGACCTCATTTTCATGGTTCAATGACTGCTTGAAAAAAAAAATTACAATTTTTTCGTCATGTGAATTTCTCACTTATTATGAGTAATGGGATAACTATATTTGGTATATTGTTCCTTGCAACGTCTACATGTCCATCAGACAGGGTTAACCTGACCTCGACATCAATTCATGGATCAGTGATCAAGGTTAAAGTTACGTGATTAGGTCCGTTTCTCAGAAACTACAAGCAGCAGGTCAACTATATGTGATAGATATAAGAAGATGTGATATGAGTGCCAATGAGACAACTCTCCATCCAAGTAAAAATTTATAAAAGTAAACCAATATAGGTCAAAGTACGGTCTTCAACACCGATGTATGGAATGATTGAAAGGGGTACATGTCAGACTGGCAGGTTTCATCTGACCTTGACCTCATTTTCATGGTTCATTGGTCATTGTTAATTTTTTGTGTTTTGGTCTGTTTTTCAAGTACTGTAAGCAATAGGTCAACTTTATTTGGTGTATGGAATGATTGAAAGGTGTACATGTCTGTTTAGCTGGTGTCATCTGACCTTGACCTCATTTTAATGGTTCATTGGTCAATGTTAAGGTGGCTCACCCCAATAAGGACCCCCGGTAGAATTTTTTTATTTTCACATATTTTGTAGATTTTTTTATGCTGAATCCAAAAATGCAAAGAAAAAAGGGGGTCACCAGGCTCGTTTTCCCCTCAAATGGAAGCGAAATGTGCGATTTTGACCCTATTTCCAAACTTTTACACCCTTTCAACAATAACGACTACATCAAATTCAAAGACTTTTAGAACCATGTCAGTATGATTATTATGTGAAAAAACAATTAAATTTGAAATGTAAACGTTCCTCTTGGTTGTTTTAGACTTAAAAATCCTTTTATTTTCAGATTTATGTCTAAATTTGGCATTTTTTAATTTCAGTTTAAGGCTAAAAATATTGGTTAAATCGATTTTTCGTAAAATTTCCCCGGTAGATTTTTTTTAAAAACGGATATGTCAAAGCTATGAACTTTTCGAGCATTTTAAGGTAAAATAAAATGGGGGTCACCAGGCTTTTAAAAAAGTTACGAGCTTTTGTTTAACCCCTCTACCCCATGAGGTCTGATTTCAATGCACTCCATTTATTACTTGATTGTGATTTTTTTATTAATGTCTTTAAATAAATAATGTTTGTAATTATATCAATGGACGAAAGCTGAATATAAATGTGATGAACATTTTACTGTTTGTTATAAAAAAGCGAAATTTTGATTACTTTGGTGAAATACGGTAATTGTGTCTGGCGCGAGTTGCTTCCCTCTAATCTGGCGCCATAATCGGACAACAGAAATTTCAGGGTCGCCATTGCTGAGCAGCATACTGCACTGATAGATTCGACCATGTGCATGAATAACAGACATAGTGGCGAATAGACAACGATGAAGGTAGAGTCATTACATAAGAAAACATAGGTTTTAATATATTAGACAGCCAAATGTTATCAGTATCACGAAAAATACAAAGTGGGGGGTTATCTCAAAATACTCGATACTGTAGAAAATCACTGCGGCTGAAACCTTACATGGGCTAAATTTCTGTTCTATGTATAATCGTTATATGGCTGGTATCTTATTTATGTGTTTACTTGACCCTTAACCTGTTAACTGGCAAGTTGTGAACATGTATAGCCTGTTTTGAAAAAATATCCGTGTCAAACAGTCAAAGAGGAGGGGATGGTCATTTTCAGCATCTCATGATCAGCGCTATCGTTAGCGTCAAATAAGTCTTGATTTTATATCGTCATTCGTAAAATCTAATTTCGTAGCCACGTTAGGGAGCTACCATTTGATTTTTATGGGGGGGGGGGGGGGGGGGGGGGGCTAGGATGAAAAATGTTGTCCTGCTTTTTTTTTTAGTTGTAATCTCTGTCCTGCCTTTTTATTTTTTTACTCTATTCGGTCCTGCCTTTTTTTTACTAGTTTATCCTGAATTTTTTTACACAAATTGTCATCCTGCCTTTTTTTTTTTACCCGTGTTGCTCATCCTGCCTTTTTTTTTACTCCAAACTCCTGTCCTGCCTATTTTTTCAAATTTCATCCTAGCCCCCCATAAAAATCAAATGGTAGCTCCCTTAGGGTCAAATGAAGTTAAATATTTATCGTTAGCGTCTATAATGACTAGTAAAACAGGTTGGGAACAAACCCTCTACATGGTGTTTATACCTGTATAGAGGAATAATCCTTCTATAGTGGGATAAAAGAGGGGTATTTTTGTTTAGACTGGATTTAAAGCAAAATAGGGCAGAATGGCATTTTCTAGTTATATTTGCTATAATCTATAGCACTAGATATGCATCAATTATTGCACTTTACTGTATTCTGTATTTCTTTACCAAAAAATGGCCTGGGATGCCCAGTTTTCTGCTAAAGTGACAGAACTTGCAATCTATTGTATACCTATCTGAACACCTGATCAACAACAGAAGGGACATGCAGTTGACCTTTAAATTTTATGTTAAATCTAACAATAGAAATTCTGTTCAGTGAGGCATAACTGAGTGGAATTTACCTGATCATCACAGCTTTCAATTATGGTGTACAATAGATTGTATATTCAGTCAGTTTAGCAGTAAACTGGGCATGTGAAATGAAATTAAGTACATCAATCGGTGCATCAAATGTAGCAGGTTACTGCCATAATAAGTAGAAAATGCCATTCTGCCCTATTTTGCTTTAAATCCAGTCTAAACAAAAATTCCCCTCTATAGAAGGATTATTCCTCCATACAGATTTAAACACCAGTGGTGGATCCAGGGGGGGGGGGGGTTCAGATGGTTGGAACCCCCCCTTTTTTTTGACGTTCAATGCATTTGAATGGGGACATATAGTTAGAACTCCCCCTTTATCCTGGGTTAGGAACCCCCCCCCCCCCTTTTTTTATAAATGGCTGGATCCACCCCTGAAAACCATATAGAGGGTTTGGTCCCAACCTGTAAAATGGGGTACCCCATAACTTCCCTCGGACAGGGGTTCATGATTGCCACTCCCTATCCCCAACTCCCATTTCTCTTCCCTTTTACTCTAAAATTTTCTCCCCTAACTTCTACATCCATCCCCCTTGCTCCCAGACAAAAAAATTGCAAAATATATTTCCCAGATTATTCATCCCCCCCTCTTTTCGAATTCTTGTCCTTTCACCCAAAATCATGTTCGCTCCAATTCACGTTCATCCCTTTTACATTCCCACCCTGAGTCTGTTTGTACCCTTCCTTTTATCTAAATCATGCTTTTGTTAGTATAGTTCTATAACAATAAAATAAAGATATATTAAGTTTATTTTTATTGTTTAAAAATAAAGTGACTCACACGAGATCTAAGGTTTTTTTTTCTATTTATAATCTTCATAAGATTTACTTCTACCAAATTGGTTACTTTTATTTTCACTCAGACCAGGCTACTTAACGGTAACGGACCTGCACATGATACCCCCTTTTCTCGCTTCCTGATCCCTCATTCCCATGTTCCCTTATCCCTGTCCACCCGCTCAAGTAGTCCTATAATATATGAACTCGGGGGCATTATTTTCTATTTCTGTTTTCTTTTTACTGATTTTGCTATTTTTCTTCTTTTTTTTATATTGTCAATTTGCCTCAAAAAAAAAAAATGAAAATATCAGCATGAAAACGTTAAATAGTGAATATATAATGCAAAGGCATATATTATAGGACTACCCGCTCAAGGGGTTCGATTGTTTCGTTTGTATTCTTGAGAATATATAAATGGCCTGATTTGTAAATTATAACCACTACAGTACGAGGCAATACATTTTATTGATGGATTCGTCTTGATCACAATTTGTTTACAATTAAACACCTCCCCCCCTGTCTCTCTTTTGTATAAAAAAAATTCATAACGTCAAGTATCAGGTTTAAACATACACATAGGGCTTATCTTGTTTACCAAATAACACATACATTTGAGTTGAAAAATTCATTATTGTTTTGTGCTTAGTATTTTTAAACACAAAATTTGTATATCCCATATTCCAAACAGGTTACAAGACACCTCAGCATAATTTGGTTGACGAGGAGTACAAATGTAGCTCAGCTGCATTTTAGAATTTTTAGGCATAGAAATACATGTAACTTGTCCCTGGCATCGAAACAGCATGCCCTGAGAAGTCTGTATTCAACATATGTATAAAAACAAAATCACTATTTACACTTGCTGTGCATGTAATTTTATTTTGTTTGCTCATTATTGTTGCCACAAATTCTTCATTTTTTTACGCCGTAGTGGAGTGGGCATTAAGTTTTACCCTTGTCTGTCTGTACGTATGTCCCAAAATTGGTGTCCGTTCTCTAACTTCAGTTTGCCTCAACCAAATGTTATGAAACTTATAAACACAATGCTTATTACCAACAAACACAGATCAAGTTTGAATTTTTTTTGGTGGTGTCACTTTTACTGTTCTAGAGTTATGCCCCTTTACAAATGGAAAAAATTGCTGAATTTTTTGTTTCTGTTCTCTAACTTTAGTTTGCCTCATCCAAATGTTATGAAACTTATACACATTACTTATTACAACAAAATTCAGATCAAGTAAAACTTTGGGTAGTGTCACTCTTACCGTTCTTTAGTTATGCTCCTTTATAACTTTATATGCAAGTGGGGGCATCATCTGTGTCCCATGGACACATTCCCCATTTATTTAAAATATGAACTGCATTATGCTTTTAAATGTCAATCATGGTTGATTTTCTGACAGAATTACTCTGACATTTAATTTCAGGCATCAAGTACATGTAAGAGGAAGGAGTGATTTGTTGTGAAAGATCCTGGAATGTTCAACTTTACTTGTAAACTATTGGCAAAGAACTGACAGAATTTACACGAGAAGCCAGTATCATCTTGTCTTGCAATTGGGAACTATATGTAAAGTGCAGAAACTTAAGAACAACATTAGAAGCCAAGATCAACAATACTTGGAACTACATGTATAATCAAAGTACTGTCAGAATCCATATGAGAGAACCCAAGATCATCTACACTTGGTGTCTATATGCAAAGTGTTGTCAGAATCCACTTAAGAAGCCAAGATCAACTATAATTTGGAACTATATGCTTTAGTGCTGTCAAAATCCATAAAAAAAATCCAAGATCAAAAGGACCTACTTTACCTACCTGTCCCAATGATGAATACAGATTATTGAGTCTTATAAAAAACACTGATGAAGAATATTGATATAAAAATAATGAAAATATAGAGCTGATCAGCTAATGATTGTACATGTACATGATGTATACATGTCAACAATTACTAGTATATTGAAATTTACAATGCTAATAAATGTTTTATAAATTTGATCTCATAGACATTTTAGGAATAAAAATCAAAAATTTTCAAAAAATGAATTTTAATAGAGCTTTTTTTGCTTTCTGTAGTGAATTTTGCTGCAAACACAATTCATGATATGCAAACTGCAATATATGCAGTTGTCTTTAATACAGAAGGTAGCTATGAGATTTGGAAATTTTGGAAATCATAATACCAAGTGGCAGTTGTGGTAAATGCACATGTCTTTGCCTCATCTTTTACCTCACCAACCCCTGACCTAAATGGCCACTTGAATTATTTTACATCATTTGGCATTTGTTTTCCATCCATATGCTATTCAGTTTCTATTTCAAAAGTTATATTTTCTGGATAAAAGGAGAAATAAAATACAGTTTTGTTCAATGAGACAGCAACCAAACAAAACAACCAAAAGAATTATATATTGTCTGGGAAAACTTGTGTCTCACTATCAACTGACAACATTTTTACCGACTGTAAATTCAGAAATTATTGCGTGCATTTATTATTGACGAATGGACTAAATTGCGAGTTTAATTATTGCGATTACAAAAAAAATCTGCATAAAGATCTATAATTCAGTTATCAGAATGCAAGTTCTTATTATTGCGATATTCACCCTGTCGCATTATTTGCATTAATAATAACCTCGCAATAATTTCTAAATTTACAGTATCACAATAATCCAGATTAATTTTGTTTTGTAAATTTAGATATGCACTCAAATTAATACAGATTGCTACAAAAATCTCTAAGCACATTTCAAGGTTAAAGTTACCTGATTAGGGTTGTTTATCAGATACTGTTAGCAATAGGTCATTTGTCAATGTCATGTTTTTGTGTTTTTGTCTGTTTTTTCTAATACTAAAAGTACATGTAGTAGATAAACTATATGTATGCAATGATTCACAAATGTAAGGAGTACATGTCTGTCTGGCAATTGTCATTGACCACATTTGCATGGTTCATTGGTCAATGGTAAGTCCTCTTTTAACATGCTACATTGTGTAATCAATGGGTTATTATATTTGGTGTATGGTATGATTATTAAATGTATATATTGAAATATTAAGTAAAAAGATGTGATATGATTGTAAATGAGACACTCCACAAGAGACCAAATGACACAGAAATAAACAACTAAATGTCACCATACGACCTTCGACAATGAGTAAAACCTATACTGCATAGTTGGGTATAAAAGGCCTCCAAATGACAAATGTACAATTCAAAACAATTCAAATGAGAAAACTAATGGCATACTTATGTACAAAATAATGAATGAAAAACAAATATGCCTGTCTTGCAGGGTCTATCTGAACTTAACCTTATGTTCATGGTTTTGTCTGTTACTGGCATACTATATATATGTTTAAAATATTTGGTTGATGGGGTGATTGTAACTTAGGGGGAGGGCCCATTGGTTGATTATATAGGGAATCACTGAAGCATGACTGGAGCAGGCCTCTCTTAGGCAGTCACCCCCCCCCCCCCCCCCCTTTTTCATGAAAAATTCTGGCTCCGCCACTGTGTAAGGCTGGCTTGGAATGGTTTATCTGATCATTTTCATGATCGTTGATAATATTAATTTTTTCTGATACTTATAGTGAAACTTTATCTTTAGGAATATCAACATAAAACCAATCATGAATGATGATTAGTAAAGCAGGTGAGACATTTCAGCTTGTGCACTCTTGTTAACACAAAAATTATATGGACTGTCGCTAGAAAATGAATGGACAATGCATGCTTGGTATGGACAAAATTCCTCCTTTTTACCATACGAGGCTGCGTATTTATCTCGGGTGGGGGTGGGGTAAGGGGCACTTCCTATATTCAAGGTGATGGGACGTGCCGCTGGAATAGGTCACCTTTTCAAGCTTGAAAATATGTGAAAAGGTCGGGGAAAACTATCAAAAATATATGATAAGGTCAATAAAGTTTCCATAACTTCTTCGTCCGTCATCTTTCTTGGTGTTCCCGGGTGTGATTTTATCAACCAAATTTTCTCTTTCAACACTTTGGTATTCTAGTCTTACATTACACTACATGAAACCCAAGCATTATAGGGAAAAGGTTACATTTTTACCTACGCAATATATGAAAAGGTATACATTTTTGAAAAAGGTGGGCCCCAGCGGCACCCCTTATCAATTAAGTATTGAAGTGCCCCCTCCTACCACCCACCCCCGGAGGTATTTATACATCCAGCTGTATGAACACCCTGCCATAGCAAGGGATTATCTGTCAGATTAGGGAAGTCATATTTCTATACCCTACGATATGAAAATAAGGAGATGTGGTATGATTGCCAATGAGACAACTATCCACCAAAGTTCAAATTTAAAAGTCAATATTAAAAAAAATTGCATCTCCATATTATCATCATAGGCCGATAATTACGTTTCTTTGCAGCTAGCAGGTGGGTCAAACCAGTGTTCACACATCATTAAAAAAAGTTGTCATGCATATTTCTTGCCGCAATGACACACTCCACTTTAATTTTTTTAAATCAAGAACTTTCCTTATTAGCTTCCCTTTTGAAAAAAATGCATGTCAAAAAGTAAGACAGAAGTTAAAGTTTGCCAATATCACCGACTATTATAGCGTCCCTGTGTACTGGGCGGAGTTTTAAAATTACAATCCCAACTTTTCCTGAACCTAGTAAGTAGTATAGATTTTGTGTATATATAATGTCTTTAACTGGTAGTGTTTGGAACTGCCCGGTAGACTGCGGATGTGTGTCCTAGGCAAAATCCCGACTTGGTCAAGCCAAATATTTTGCGCCGCAAAGCATGTGGTATTGAGGGATAATAGCATATACCGATATATAAGGCCGGAATACTAGTAAGGTCCCGGTTGCTATTGGCCAATTTTCATCTACATGATCAAAGGTTGAAAACTGCAAATTATTGAAATGTCCGGTTTTTTTTCTGCGTAAAACAAAAAATGTGTTGCTCGAGTTCCGTTAGTCTATTATAATAACTCATTCTTAATCAATTATTTTAGTTTTTACGCTGATATTTCCTCTTTCTTTTTTTAATGCGAACTCTGTTGGCATATTGATAGATACAACAGAAAATAGAAAATTAACAAATAGCAAAATAAGTAAAAGGAAAATATTATAAATAGAAAACATTGGCCCCGAGGTCTCATGTTATAGTACTAGAGTTCCAAATTTCATAGAATCATGATACGAGAAAATTTGTTAGATATTTTCGTGCCCATTATTTGATAAAGTATATAAATCTTTAAATTAAAATGTTATGTGTGAATGTCAAGTATTTAGTCTTTGTTTGAATATTGTAATGTCCAAAAAAAAATTTGGAAAATAAAAAATACTTAACTATTATCAAAATTTTGCAGTGTTAAAATATTTCCCATACTCCGGAATTGTTCAAAAATTTTTGGCAAATAAAAAATACGTAACTGTATATATTATCAAAATTTTGCAGTGGGAAAATATTTCACATACTCCGGAATAAGATCCCAGCAATACTTGGAAATGAAGATATTTCAAGTAAAAAAGAGATTTATGACAGTAACAAAATGTTATAAAACGCCAAACGGATAAAACGGTTAAAAGCTCATTAGAGCTTATGTTGAATCTGTTTGTACACTTTGCCGACTCTAAATAAAGCTTATTTATTATTTTTCATTTATTTATTATTTTATATAGCGTGCAGATGAACCCCGATGCCGTTATACTATAGCATACTATACGGGTTTTACTTGTTTTTGAAAGCCGAAAGGTGACATGCAGTTTACATCGCTATCCTTTGTTTACGGTTAAACATTGCGTCATTGGCAAAATATTTTCATATATCATACTAATACATCTAAAAGACATCTTTTGATATATTCAACCAGTATTTAAATGAAAATAGGGTGCGAACGGATCCAAGGGGCGAACGTGTAGGGTGAGAATGTGTTTTTGGAGCGAACGCACCCGGCAGATACCGTCGTACAAGTCAATATTTATATTTTCTTTTTTTTAATGTTATGCTTTAATATATCATGTATAATTCTGTCCTTTTTATGCGAAAAATGAACAAACCACTCTGTAGTCCTGACCGTACGTATTTCCTGTTTTGTGGCTTTTGTAGAACGTTTTGCATGGTTTGTTGACATCGGGAAAGGGTGCTTTCATACACGCCCGCGTTCCAATGTCGTCAAAACTATTTTTGAGAAAACCCCTCAAGGCGACCGTTTCCAAGGCGCTCGTCGTTAGTAACATGCGTTAAAATATGCGCACTGTTAAAGGGCCGAGCCACCTTAAGTTTTTGTGTTTTGGTCTGTTTTTCAAGTACTATAAGCAATAGGTCAACTATATCTGGTTTATGGAATGATTGTTATGTGTACATGTCTGTCTACCCAGTGTCATCTGACCTTGACCTCATTTTCACGTTTCATTGGTCATTGTTAATTTTTTGTGTTTTGGTCTGTTTTGATAGCAATAGGTCAACTATAATTGGTGTATGGAATGATTTTAAGGTGTACATGTGTGTCTAGCCAGTATCATCTGACTTTGACCTCATTTCCATGGTTCATTGGTTAATATTAAGTTTTTGTGTTTTGGTCTGTTTTTCGATTACCATAAGCAATGGGTCAACTATATTTGGTGTATGGAATAATTGTAAGGTGTACATGTCTGTGTGACAGTTTTTATCTGACCTTGACCTCATTGTCACGGATCTTTAAGAATGTTAAGTTTATGTGATACTTGTAGCAAAACCTTTATCTTTAAGACTTTCAAGATATAATCAATGGTCAGTAAAACTGGCGAGACATTTCAGCGTGTGCACTCTTGTGAAATTACAATTTTTTCGTCATGTGAATTTCTCACTTATTATGAGTAATGGGATAACTACATTTGGTATATTGTTCCTTGCAACGTCTACATGTCCGTCAGACAGGGTTAACCTGACCTCGACATCAATTCATGGATCAGTGATCAAGGTTAAAGTTACGTGATTAGGTCCGTTTCTCAGAAACTACAAGCAGCAGGTCAACTATATGTGATAGATATAAGAAGATGTGATATGAGTGCCATTGAGACAACTCTCCATCCAAGTAAAAATTTATAAAAGTAAACAAATATAGGTCAAAGTACGGTCTTCAACACCGATGTATGGAATGATTGAAAGGGGTACATGTCAGACTGGCAGGTTTCATCTGACCTTGACCTCATTTTCATGGTTCATTGGTCATTGTTAACTTTTTGTGTTTTGGTCTGTTTTTCAAGTACTGTAAGCAATAGGTCAACTTTATTTGGTGTATGGAATGATTGAAAGGTGTACATGTCTGTTTAGCTGGTGTCATCTGACCTTGACCTCATTTTCACGTTTCATTGGTCATTGTTAATTTTTTGTGTTTTGGTCTGTTTTTCAAATATTGATAGCAATAGGTCAACTATAATTGGCGTATGGAATGATTGTAAGGTGTACATGTGTGTCTAGCCAGTATCATCTGACCTTGACCTCATTTCCATTGTTCATTGGTTAATATTAAGTTTTTGTGTTTTGGTCTGTTTTTCGATTACCATAAGCAATGGGTCAACTATATTTGGTGTATAGAATAATTGTAAGGTGTATGATGTCTGTGTGACAGTTTTTATCTGACCTTGACCTCATTGTCATGGATCTTTAAGAATGTTAAGTTTATGTGATACTTGTAGCAAAACCTTTATCTTTAAGACTTTCAAAATATAATCAATGGTCAGTAAAACAGGAGAGACATTTCAGCGTGTGCACTCTTGTGAATTTTCCTTGGAGTTCGATATTTTTTTTATTTTACTTTTTCCATTGAAAACTGATTGAACAAAGTTAAGTCTTGTACAGTAAATCGCCTACTAGTATTACTCCAATGACGATCATTTGAAGTGGTTAATTTTTGTCTCGCCTTGACAGAGTCAAAAACGAGACATAGGTATGCTGTTTCCGGCGTCAGCGTCAACAATGTATTAGTTTGTGATTAGGTCTAGTTGGTGAACCAGAAGTGGTAGGTCAATGATATTTGGTATGCAGTTGTATTTGCATTGGCACATCTTATAACCATGGAGATTATTTGGCCCCACCCCCTCATTCATGATCTGTTGACTTTTAAACTTTTGCTTAGTTTACATGTATAAGTTTGTGATTAGGTTAGTTTATGGGGAACCACTAGTGGAAGGTCAATGATATTTAGTATGTAGTTGTATAAGCATTGGCACATCTTTTTTCCATGGAGATTATTTGACCCCATCCCCTCAGTCATGGTCTATTGACTTTTAAACTTTTGTTTGGTTTACATGTATTAGTTTGTGATTAGGTCAGTTTCTGGGGAACCACTAGTGGTAGGTCAATGATATTTGGCATGCAGTTGTATAGGCATTGGCACATCTCATTCCATAGAAATTATTTGGCTCTGCCCCCTCAGTCATGGTTCATTGACTTTGAATATTTTTCATAACTTGCATGTTAAAGAATTGCTATTTTAATTTCAACACTCAAAAATAACAAAAAGGCGAGACATATCTCTGTGTTAGCAGTTTATGTATATACAAGTCCTCTATAACGTTTGTGTGGATTTTATTGAAACTTTCCAAAACTACAGCACCTAATTGCATTGAGCACTTCTTTTTGGTTTTTTTATGGCCCTGTGATCGGTTCCATGTTGTTTTAACCTTGTCCATCATTCCGCAACAAACAGTTTTACAGACTTTTTTATAATGCACCTTCACATATCAAGCTGATTTTTATTATTTAAGTCTACAATGATGAGTTACAGATCAAGTTGACATATGGTTCTGCTCTGAAGATTTTTGTTGAAATTATGGGCTTTGGACTTTGAAAATTTCGTGATAATAACAGTTATACAGACATTCATTCTCAAACTTCCACTCCTAAAAATGGCTTCAAGCTTTTTTTGCGAGAAGGGCCATTTTGTGTTGTTCCAACACATCTAGTTTTGTGGTTAGATTAGTTCTTGTATGAAAAATTTATGGTAGGTTTTTTGTCACTGTAACAGGAGGATCATTTTGTCCAATTTGATACGTCTATAACTATTGCTGAAGACTTAATGTTGCCCTCTATCAGATGTCATTTGATTATTTGTTCCCCTTCTTTTCTGTTTCACTGACTTATAACCTTCATCGCTGGTGTAAAAATAAAAATAGAATGTGTACATTTTTATATTTTATTGGTTCATATATAATACTTATTTCAATTTACAAAAGCTGCTGTCACAACTTAAATGTGTTCAAAAGGGTACAAAAAAGACAACAACTTTGTACATTAAATAACCAAAAAAAATTGAAAAGTTATTCAGACCTCTTTCTTTTTCAATAGGCAGTGCAGAAAGTGTCTAAGCTTCAGAGGTTATCTGTTAAATGAGAATTTCACAATGAGTAAGAAGTATTTTTTATCAAAGACAAATCCATGACCAGCATACTGCAGTATGTTCTTATCAAATCTCTATAAAGATGTAAATGTTTAAAAAAGTTCTACTCATAAAGAATTTCACCAAAACGCAACTTAAATACTGTTCAAAATGTATATTATCTTTTAAATCTCCATTTTAATGCAAAATGTCCTTAAAAGATTTGTTTTTTTATAAAGCGTATATAGATTGCAACTTCGCCATCCACATATCATAAATATGTTCTATTTTACATTGTTTATTTTAAAATTTGACTGCTTCAGAAATTCTGGATATTTATGCTTTTTCTCATTCCCATGCATTCTACATCATCAATGAATAATGTGTTAGATTTGATAGCAATGTCTTCTTCTAAAGCGAGTTCATTACGAATAAGTCCTTTTAGTGAATCTTCGGTCTGGGCTAGTCTTCCTTGAAGATTAAGGACGGAATTTTCAATTTTTCCAACTTCTTCAATCAATTTATATTGAACTGGATCCCTGCAAAGTTCAACATTTGGTCTGTTGGTCCTTGTATCAAGACGAGTCTGAGCTAATTTCATTGGTTGTTCCTTATCACCAATAGCTTTCTGTAGTCGTGAAATGTTTTCTTCAATTTCTTTGATTTGACCAAGTACCTGTCAGAAATGAGAACAGATTAGTAAAATAGTATTATAATTTACAGCATTAGTTCATAAATAATGATGTATTTCCTATGGGTTATATGTATTATAGAAATCATTTATTTGAAGTGATATATGAGGTTTTAGCAATTTGCATGATTCAACTTTTTTGCCAAGTTTACATTTGTTTTACTTTTTTCCTGATTTTATATTTTCTTTTGTTAACTTGTGTGTTTCATTTACTTTTAATTTATTTTTCATGTTCCGATTTGTATAGGGCTGTCCCAGAAATAAATGGAGGCCATTAGGGGTGGCGGATCCAAAGGGACTTTTTATTTGACCCTTCCATGCATAAAAGATTATTTTTCTATATAATACATTGATCAGAGTATCTTTCTAAAATAATCACTGACCATCAAGTTCTAACTCCCACTCATATGATCAATCCTAACTTGTGATCCAATATACTAAAGGGATGACAATTAAGAATGACATATAAAGTTTAACTTTGAACCCTTCAAGGAATAACATTTGTACAGGTTTCTTAAAATATTTTTATAATTCATTTTTGATAATTGGTTTCTATTGAACATACATCAAATTATCTGCCGACATTCTATTATACCCACCTTATTAAGATGATCTTCCATTTTGCTCTTGGAATCTTTTGTTTCACTGATACGTTTCTGGAAGGCAAAGTTGACCTCACTACATTGTTTTCGCATATCATTAGCTGTCTGTTGTAGGATTCCATCGATCAATGATCTCAGGTCAACAGAACTCTGGCGTTCACGTTCTGCCTTGTTGATGTTAGCATCAGAGTAGTCTTGCCAATCTTCAGGGCACACAGAACTGAAATAAACAAAAGAAAATCGCTAGAATATAAACTTGTTGTTACTGAATATTGTATATAAAGTAAGTTGGTGATAATAAAAAATTATATAAAGTTGACCATAGATAAATGTTTCTGTCATTTTTAGCTCACCTGGCCCAAAGGGCCAAGTGAGCTTTTCTCATCACTTGGCGTCCGTCGTCCTGCGTCCATCATCCTGCGTCCGTAAACTTTTACAAAAATCTTCTCCTCTGAAAATACTGGGCCAAATTTGACCCGGCCAACTAACTAAGATGGCCACCATGGCTAAAAATAGAACATTGGGGTAAAATGTAGATTTTGGCTTATATCTCTGAAACCAAAGCATTTAGAGCAAATCTGACATGGGGTACAATTGATTGTCAGGTCAAGATCTATCTGCCCTGAAATTTTCAGATGAACCTGAGTTGTTGGGTTGCTGCCCCTGAATTGGTAATTTTAAGAAAATTTTGCAGCTTTTGGTTATTATCTTGAATATTATTATAGATAGAGATAAACTGTGAACAGCAATAATGTACAGCAAAGTAAGATCTACAAATAAGTTAACATGACCAAAATTGTCAATTGACCCCTTAAGGAGTTATTGCCCTTTATAGTCATTTTTTTTACAATTTTCATAAATTTTGTAATTTTTTGTAAATTTTTACAAAATATTTTCCACTGTAACTACTGGGCCAAGTTCATTATAGATAGAGATAATTGTAAGCAGCAAGAATGTTCAGTAAAGTAAGATCTACAAACACATCACCATCACCAAAACACAATTTTGTCATGAATCCATCTGTGTCCTTTGTTTAATATGCACATAGACCAAGGTGAGCGACACAGGCTCCTTAGAGCCTCTAGTTAGGTTCTCATTTGGTCATATAGCTTCTAGCTTTTTACGTATTTTTACATTCCTGGCTTTCAAATGTATAGGTTTGAGCTTTCTTGATAAAGACAAATCCAGAAAAGCCCTTCAGACGCATGTAATTTATAAAGTGTTATTTTCATAGCATATATCCAACCATTGTCCTACTTATCATTAGATGTGAGTGTCTGACTTAGTTAATTAGTACTTGATTATGCTTATGTTTTTAATAAATTGATTATTTCTAGTGTAAAAAATCAAAAGTTAGTTCCTTCATATATAAACTACATGTATGATTGCTTCAGACTGAATGTTGATGGTTTTTACATGTATTTATAGTCCAAAGCAGTCTGCAATATATGTTTTATTGATAGTCAATATCTGAATAAATTAATAATAAATCAAACTTAATTAAATACATATGTTTATACTGCAACTAGTTGTGTTTATTTCCTAAATATAGTAACACAGCTATATTTTGTGCATTGTCAATTTCATCATGGATCACTTTTTCCACAATCAGGGGTTCATTTAGGGATGAAAATAAGTTTGAAATTTGTGTTACAATTTAAATAGCTATCAATGTATTAATTTAAGTTGCAGTATAAAAACTAGAGGCTCTAAAGAGCCTGTGTCGCTCACCTTGGTCTATGTGCATATTAAACAAAGGACACAGGTGGATTCATGACAAAATTGTGTTTTGGTGATGTATTTGTAGATCTTACTTTACTGAACATTCTTGATGCTTACAATTATCTCTATCTATAATGAACTTGGCCCTGTAGTTTCAGTGGAAATTATTTTGTAAAAATTTACAAAATTTATGAAAATTGTTAAAAATTTATTATAAAGGGCAATAACTCCTTAAGGGGTCAATTGACCATTTTGGTCATGTGATTTATTTGTAGGTCTTACTTTGCTGTACATTATTGCTCTTTACAGTTTATCTCTATCTATAATAATATTCAAGATAATAACCAAAAGCTGAAAAAATTTCTAAAAATTACCAATTCAGGGGCAGCAACCCAACAACGGGTTGCCTGAATGGTCTGAAAATTTAAGGGCAGATAGATCTTGACCTAATGAACAATTTTGTTTTGAAAGATTTGCTAGAAATGCTTTGGATTTAGATATATGAGCCAAAAACTGCATTTTACCCTATGTTCTATTTTTAGCCATGGCGGCCATCTTGGTTAGTTGGCCGGGTCACCGCACACATTTTTGTCGAGCCTTCGACTTTAGTCGAAAAAGCGAGACATAGCGATCCTACATTCCGTCGGCGGCGGCGGCGGCGTCCACAAATATTCACTCTGTGGTTAAAGTTTTTGAAATTTTAATAACTTTCTTAAACTACCTTGGATTTCTACCAAACTTGGACAGAAGCTTGTTTATGATCATAAGATAGTATCCAGAAGTAAATTTTGTAAAAATAAAATTCCATTTTTTCCGTATTTTACTTATAAATGGACTTAGTTTTTCTGCTGGGAAATATTACATTCACTCTGTGGTTAAAGTTTTTAAAATTTTAATAACTTTCTTAAACTATCCTGGGTTTCTACCAAACTTGGACAGAAGCTTGTTTATGATCATAAGATAGTATCCAGAAGGAAATTTTGTAAAATAATAAATCCATTTTTTCCGTATTTTACTTTTAAATGGACTTAGATTTTCTGCCAGGAAACAACACATTCACTCTGTGGTTAAAGTTTTTAAAATTTTAATAACTTTCTTATACTATTTTGGATTTGTACCAAACTTGGACAGAAGCTTGTTTATGATCAAAAGCTAGTATCTAGAAGGAAATTTTGTAAAATAATAAATCCATTTTTTCCGTATTTTACTTTTAAATGGACTTAGATTTCCTGTCAGGAAACAACACATTCACTCTGTGGTTAAAGTTTTTTAAATTTTAATAACTTTCTTATACTATTTTGGATTTGCACCAAACTTTAACAGAAGCTTGTTTATGATCAAATGCTAGTATCTAGAAGGAAATTTTGTTTTCTTCAAGTTAACATTACATTCAGTCTGCAGATAAAGTTTTTAAACATTTATTAGATTCATAAACTATCCTGGATTTTTACCAAACTTGGACAGAAAGTTCTTACAATCAAAAGATAGTATCAAGAGGAATATTTTTATTGATTTACTTCCTCATTTTTGTTGAGCCTGCGATTAACAGAAAAAGTAGGCGAGACACTGGGTTCCGTGGAACCCTTACGAATTTTTTAAACTAGATACCCTAATGATGATATTGGCCAAGTTTGGTTAAATTTGGCCCAGTAGTTTCAGAGGAGAAGATTTTTGTAAAAGTTGACGGACGACGGACGCAGGACGACGGACGCCAAGTGATGAGAAAAGCTCACTTGGCCCTTTGGGCCAGGTAAGCTAACAATATTAGGTCAATTTCAGAAAAATATAAACTTTTTTATATTCGGCACAAAACTGGGGAAGGACTCGGTACAACCTTGCCTATCCCCAGTTTCTCAGCCTCATACAAAAAAGTTTATATTTTTCTGGCATTGACCTAATATTGTATATCAATGCAGTCAATAGATTAACAGTTATACTGACAACACAGCTTATATAACTGGACATTAAGCAACCAACAATCAATCAATCAGCTTGTATAACTCATAATTGTAATGTATACACTACAGTATTCTTTCTGTAATATTGCATTTTAGGCCATCTTTAAAAATTTCTTTGTTTGATGTTACCTGTCCATGCATTGTAAGGTTAGGTAATTATAAGTAGGTAAGTATTTTATTTTTATTTGGCCTCCAACATAAATTATATGTTTTAGACAAGAAAACAAGGTTAGAACAGGAAAAAATCTTGAACAAAAAATTGAAACGATTTATGTCATAAAATTTTTCAGATAGGCTGCTTTTCAGGTGGGTTACTAAGGTAGGCAACATCAAACAATCTAAATTTTATTTTTGGCCATAACAGTGCTAAACACTAAATGCCCACAAATGTGTAAGGTTATGCATTAAAATTAAGGGTAGGTAAAAAGGTACATAAAATGTAGGATCATAACTGTATTCTTTATTGCCTCATAAAACCATGAAAAGATAAAATGACAATGTAATAATAAAATGACCTACTTTGCCTCAATTTTAGCAGCTCCCTGTTTGAATCCTAGACCAGCAGAGTTGTTTCTTAGTTCAGCACAATATTCATCAATATTTACTGCTTCAAACTTATCTTTCAAGTCTTTTTCCAGTTGATATTTGGCTTTTTTGTTTAATCTGAAATGGAAAAAAATTTGTATGAGTTATCTCCCATTTGCATGTTTTTATTTGCTACAAGGATTTAATTTATGGTACCAATCTTGTTTATTTTTTTCTGGACTCAATGTTTTCTGTTTGATTAAAAGTTTATGCTGAATTGAAACATCTGGATGAGGCAGTTATTTTTCATCAAAATCATAATTTCACATTACTATACATGTACACACATGATATGTACATGGAAAATTTTTCAAATCTTAAAAGTTAAAGATTAGCTGTTTTGCATGCAAGCCTCTGGAGCAGTCAATTACTGTACATGACAGCTACCTTAAACATAGTTAAATGTTCTAAAGAAAATCCTAAAGTTATGTTATCAAATATATTGAAATAACATTAGGGGATGCCACACTTTGGGATGTAATATTAAATACTGCTAAATAATTTAGTGATTGTAACAACTTGCATAAACATTTGTATTTTATATTCTTATAAGGTTTGGAATTTTTTCATACATGTTTTTTATTCAAAAATCCTATACATGTATAACCTTCTTAAAATACAAATTAATCAACACAATTCCTATCAAGAATACCAATTCATGAAACACAATTTCACTACAATGATATTCACCTAATTTGTTCAATGGACTGTTCTAATGTTCTCTTTAACAGAGCCTGGACACCTTCAATAGTTTCTACTTCTTTAATCAGTTGTTTCTGGACATCATCATGGACTAAATCTATATCAGTTCTCTTTTCCCTGAAAAAAAATCAATAAATTAAAAATTCACTTCAAATGTCTTAAAAAGTATTTGTACTTAAGTTTTGCTTGTCTTTTAAAAAGAAATAAGGTTCTCAATAAATAGGAAGATATGAGAGTTACTAGCCATCTATTGAAAGGTCGAAATGATGGCTTCAAAGTAAAGTAGTGAACAGTTATGATAAGAATTATTATTTTTCTATTCAACTGAAAAAGGGAATTACAAAACACACCTTCCCTTCTTATTATATAAGTTTAATTATTAATGCTTAAATATATTTATAAACAATATTTAAATCAATCTATTTATTAAAAGATATAAGAAGAAATGGTATGAGTGCCAATGAGACAACTCTCCATCCAAGTCAAAATTTATAAAAGTAAACCATTATGGTGAAAGTATAGTCTTCAACACAGAGCCTTGGCTCACACCGAACTGCAAGCTATAAAGGGCCCCAAAAATTACTAGTGTAAAACCATTCATACGAGAAAACCAACGGTCTAATCTATATAAAAAACAAGAAACGAGAAACACCTATGGACCACACCAACAAACGACAACCACTGAACAACAGGTTCCTTAATGAATTGATTAACTCAAACAACATGGCGTGTGTCATAAAGCTTGAGCTCTCTAAATTGTGTAAACAAACAATATTTTGACAATGATTTGACATTTTTAAGGACAGATTACTCCTGAGAAGTAGATAGTGGGATATCTGACCTCCCTATCAGTGAAATGGTCTTCATAAAGATAGGTCAAAAGTTATTGAAAATAAATAAATAATAATGGAGGTCTTTTACCAATATGTGGAAAGATGACCTATATAAAACCAGAAAATTAGGCCACAGTTTTTTCGACAAAGAGAAATTGAAGTGTCAGATGTTTTTAAGTCTTCATGTCTATCTTATTACAAAAAAAAATTTTCACATCAGGACAATAAAAGATTTTGAGTAGGCAGCTATTTTCTGGGTAGGTAGGGTTAGGGCAAACAAACGCATTATTTTTTATGGCCTAACTAACAAAAAAAACTTACCAAATAAATAACGTTTGTTGGAAAAAAATCAAAAAAATCTACAACTATAAATACTTATCTTGATTGTAATTTTTTGTGAAAATAGTCGCTGATGCTTAGACCCTTAAAAACATTTGGTATTAAGAACTACCTGTTAGCGAGACACTGTGGAGCTATATGTAGAGGTTCAGCTGTGGCTTCAAGTGCCTTCTCCACTCTGGTTTTAAATGCTTCAAGATTGTCAATTTCAATTGATAAACCATTTAGTTTATCATCTAATTCTTTCTTCCAATATTTTATATCATCCAGTCTTTGTTCTGAAAAACAATATAATTATATTGTATATATCCAATATTTCCTTTTTTGCACATCTATATAAGTTTTTAGTTTTTAGCATTAATTTATTTTGTTATTCATAAGGTTTTTTACAATTTCAAAATCAAGCAATACCAATGGTAAATGATAAGAGTGAAATTGTGGATTTCAATAGTATATAGATTATAGAAAGATTTTATATTGCAACAAAAAAACCAAACTTTTTCATTTATTAAAATGTTAATTTGAGAAAACAAAAATGATCTGTCATAAAAATAATCCAATCAAGATAATGCTAATTAAAACATGTATTTGTAAGTGTTATATACATTTGCATTTAATTTAATCCAATTAAGAAAAAAACATACCACAATCAATAAATTAAATTACAGACAATTACCCCTTTCTATGTCGTTTTTGAAGGGAAAAACATAAATTATTAAAAAATTTACCCAATTTTTTGTTGACATCTCTTTGTGTTTTTTCTGTAGTTTTTTCAGTCTCATCAGCCAGACGTTTGGATTCATCAACTAATCTTTCTGCAGCAGCACGCTCAACCTCTGCATTTGCATATTTAGTCAAATTTGATGTTGTCCATTCTGGGTGTGTAAACCTTGTTGGTCCTGTCACTACTTTAGCCATTCTTTCTTCTGTAAAGAAATTGACCCAAGTTATTTTTTGAACTTTTCCCAAAACTTTTGTTTTCATAAGATTATAAAGAGGGAATTAGATTTTCTAAGTTAGCCTCACTGAAATTGACAGTCACTAAGGAGGGTAGGAATGCCATTTACCGTCAGGCGTCAAACGGTCATTTTTGGCTACCGTTAGCGTCAAATTGGTTAAAATTTTACCGTGATTCGTCAAAATATCCTTATCGTGATTCGTCAGAGGTCTCAAATAATTGTCGTTACCGTTATTTTTGGAAAATATTTAACGTTATTTGTCAAAATCAGTTGATTTTTTTATCGTCTAAAAGAAAGTGTACATTTTATCGTCATGTATCAAAAATTACTGTTAACATCATTTGGCAAGAATTTTTACCGTTATTCGTCAAGAAGGTACCCCCATTACGACCCTCACTAAGGATACGTGTGGTATTCATCTCTGAAAACTTCACATGTATTGGAGTCACTGTCTTGTATACTGCTCACTGATCAAGTGGTCCTGACTAGAAGTACTTATGAAAATTTTTAATGATAAGTTTCTATAAAACTGAGTTCTATAATGGTCACCCGCACCCATGGCCATATATACAATGAAACAATCATATATCAAGGCTTTATCTGGTATGAATAAACTGACACGCATATATAATATTGATCTGAAAGTTGTTAGAAACAAATCCATGAGGACCATAAGAGCTACGGTTCCCAAGCTAGGCTAGGGTAGAGTATACTTTATGTTTACAGTAACCAGCTTCATATCAGGTTGATAAAAGTTACAATCAAATTATTTCTTCTTATAGCAATGGTGGATCATATCAGAGTATATTTAATACATTTTCCTAATCACATATTTCACAAAGACTTACCTTTTCAGCGATGAAATATTAAATAAACAGTTTCTGGCTAAAAATGTCTATATATTTTTCTCACTTGACAACACAGCACACAAATGTGATGGTGGACTTAGCAACAAACGTTGCTAACATAAAATATATTATTATCTGTGATTGGCTATTGTGTCGAACAATATGATTGGATGGTTGAGACACACACCTTCACCTTTGAACATCAAGGTCACACATTCTCACTTCCGGTAACTTGACAAGTCAGTCGATAAGCTAGAACTCGAACGATATCGTATGGGAAAATACCGCACAATTTGAAAAATGGATAATGACAGGCCACAGTTTAGGTCTCCTTTTTACCGTCCGTGTCCACACATGGTAGCTTCAGCGCAAGGTGCGCCGCAACGTTCCACAGGAAATAGTTTGAAAGCTATTTTTGCAGGTGAGTCGTTTGATGATACTATAGTATGCCATTTGTTTACATTTTGTGAGTGTCATCAGAATCATGAACAAACAGATGACACGTTGTAATTGGTTATTTGTCCTATCTAAAAGACACTTGAAGTAACATTGACCCAATTTTGATGGTTAATATAACTTCGACAGACAAATGGAAGATAGATAAAGTAAAGACTAAAGTTACAAAGTTGAACTTTGACCTAGAAAACTGTTATATCATAATTTTTATCTCTTTGTGATGTATGAATATCACTGTGGGTTGGTTTTTTGCAAGGAAATGACATTCAATTGATATTAAAACTTAAATAGATTAGAAAGATATTCACAAAAGACATTTTTAGAAAAATGTTTTGCTAAATATCTCTTTTTTAAGCAAATTAACAGATTTGACTGAAAACATATTCCTATTTTCTTATTTTGTTTTTCTGATTCCTGAATTAACTCTTTTTTTTTTGCATGGAAATGTAATATACAAAAAATAACTCCTCCCTCTCCAGTCTCCACCCCATGTTTATTTTAACACCTTTTATTATAGTCTTAGAATGCAATTTATATTTTATTATGAAATTATGAAAAAAAAACCATAATGTATTTGTCTTGTATAGCTATTTTAAGTTTAGCTTTGGTTGGCTATTCCCAACACAAAAAACAAACAAACAACAAAACAAAATAAACTGTATATTTATGCATGTAATGTTAAATTCAATGAAACTCAACTACAAAATCAATATTAATATTTGTATCTTATTATTTTTCTGCCAGTATTTATCTCTATTAATAGATCTGTGTTGATTTTAATAAATTTAATCAATGGAAAGTCAATGACAATATATAGCAGTTGTGCTAATCTGGAAAGAGGATAACTAGTATATTATGTCCAGCACCAATCTACTTCCTTTTCATGTACATATTGTTTAGTATGAGTTTACAATTTGAACAGTATTGAAAAATACATTGATCTCCTGTTTGTTTTGATTATAAGAATGACAAATAAGGTAGTACTGACAGATTAAATAACAGTCATTCAAATTTTTAACCAGGAAGGGATTTTAATTATTTTTAAATCCTGAATGACATGTATTATTGTTAAATGTACAAAGAAATAGTAATTTGACCTAACTGAGGACAATATAGTTTGACATGTTTATTTTCCAAATTGTATAGACTTAAACATTGTTAAATAGAATGTACATGTAGTTGCATTTCATGGAAATATGGTTTCATGGTATTCCACAACATGTATACATTCTTAGATATTCATGATATTATCAAGCTTTAAATAAAATGAGAAAAACATACTCTGTGGTTTAAAGTGAAGAATTTTGAAATTTAAAATAATTATTTTGAACTAAATGCACTTACAAAAAGGAATACTTTATTTCGAATAAATGGGTATGCATATGAGAGTTCTCTAGAAAGATAGACAAAGGATACCAAAAGGACATTTAAACTCACAAGTCGAAAATATACTTACAACGCCATGGCTAAAAAAGAAAATGACAAACAAACAACAGTACACAAAACACAACATAGAAAACCAAAGACTGAGCAACACAAACCCCACCAAAAACTGGGGGTAATCTCAGGTGCTCTGGAAGAGTAAGCAGATCCTGCTCCACAGAACAATGATCATGATGATTCATAGTTTTAAAAGTTGATGGGAATAAACCTTTAGAGTAATAAATATAACTCATATATTTGTTTTATTTTCTGAAAGAAACTGGATAACTTTTATCACGAAATGTGTTTTGAGTACAGGGCCTCATTGGACAAGTGGTCTAATTAATCCAACTTCTGTACCACTAGCCTGTCAACACTGATGTTGTGAGTTCGAAACCTGCACATGTCATGTGCACTCAACTCCAATCTTAATAAAACTAGGATTGACAGTTTTCCTAAAGAAGGTCGGTGGTTCTCTCTAGACACACTGCTTCCTGCTCCAATAAAAACTGACTGCCATAAAATAACACAATAGTGCTGAGAGTGGTGTTAAATACCCATCGTTTAATCAATCAATGTTTTGAGTACAACCGCATTGATCTGTAATGCAGGTTAACTTAGGCATTTTAAATGATTTGGGTGTATGGTACAAAGACATGAGATGAACTATATATACTGTTTTTGATTTTGATATTGCACAAATTGAATTTACCACAAAATGAATTATAATTATTTTTACAAATGTCTTCTTAGGTATGAAAGTCTGCAAGTTTATAAATTAAAGGAGATTTGGGATATATGTCAAAGAGACAGCAACCTATCTACAAAAATAACCAAAAGACACTTACCAAATTCTTTTTCAAAATGAATAATTCTATTGTTTTGAGTTTTAGAAAATAAACCCATAGTATGTCTGATGCAACATTAAGGGACAATGCAGGTAGTAAGCTCTTAGTTATATATCTTTCAGTGAATGGTAAAGTACATTTTACAGATAAATATATGTTATAAATAAGAAATATTGATTTACTTTCAAAGATCAATTAAAATAGAAAAAACAAAGGATATGGGGTATCCATCCAAGTTCCCTTTCAAATCAATGACATCTATATATGTGTCCTTTCATCATGTTCATATTGTATGTATTGTCAGATAATATCTGATATATCATATGATTATCTTAGATATGATTACCAACCCTAAAAGTCTAGAAATATCACTGTCAGATTTGAGATGAAAAATCATGTAACTCTATGACCAAAATTGTTGCCAAGAAAAAATTGAAACAAAAATCTTTAAAAAAAATCAGACATTGAGTAAAATGTGATTTTGTGAAAATATCACATTTTATCCCAGGAAGGAGGATCAATAAAAGCTTGCCAGTTTCATCTAATACCAGCAGATTTATGGAAAGTGTCTAAATGAGCAGTTTCTAAACCTCTAAGTGTGTTTTATTGATTGCCTTATAAGCTAATATACAGCCAGTTTTCGTGTCTTGTAATTACCGCTGACAAACTACATGCCTTGGGAAATCTTTGATTTACTCCATTGACATTAGATAATGTTGGTAATATAATCCAATGACTTTGATTTCCTGTGTCTTTTTTGTAATTCTCGGTCACTTGAGAGTCAAATTGATTGGAATTTTTATTTAAGAAATTGACACTGGATATTTTGTCATGTTATCCATTAACTTTGATTTTTCAGTGTCTGTCAATTGTAATTCTTCATCGGTTTAGGGTCAAAATTGATCAGAATTTTGGTTGAATGACATAATGACCATATGGTACTATTTCAAATGCTAAAAGTGGACAAAGTCATTAAAAAACACTGATTTCTAAGTGTATTTCCTTTTTTTTTTGTGACCTTAAATTGCAGATTCCTTGAACGTACATGGGAATGTTGCTGTTATTACTTTGCCTGAATTAAAAAAAAAATAGAAAAATTAGTCCTGTTCTACACTAATCATGTTATAGATGTAACAGTTTTACTAGAAATTTGGTACTTTTTAATGGAAAGATTTTCATTTATTCATCATGTTCTTTGATTTTTGCTGAACATCCAGTGACAAATATTTCATGATAATTCAGAAAAGTGCCATGTATGTACATGAACATGATATATATATATATATATAGACAAAAATTAAGAGAAACAAAGGGGGGTAATCATTAACACCATTCCAGTAGAAAGACCATCAAAGACCATGGCCAAAAGAAAAGAAACCAACAGATATTATAACAACAATTCACTTAATATAAAAATAAGGAGATGAGGTATGATTGCCAATGAGACAACTATCCACCACAGTTCAATTATAGTGGATGTAGTAAGACCAGACAAAAAAATAAAGATTATAGGCAACACAAACCCGTGCAAACTTCAGGAATGAACTGTTGTGCTCTGTAAGGAAACAGTTCCTTCTAGACTTGTCCCACGCATTGGTGTCAAGTAAGGGTGGTCTGAATTTTTCAGTCCATGTTCTTCAGGTATTTTAAGAAGCAGGGGGAATAAGTCTTGCTCAGTCAATAGCTTTAGTTGATTTAAATGTGAACACAAAATTTCATTAAGAAACTGTTTTATTTGTCACTTTTTAAAATAAATATTTCAGCTTAATTAATTGTTACATGGGCATATCATGTATATGTTCATGCAATAATACAATTTGTAAACTCAAAATTTTTATAGGCTCTGTTCCATATTAGGTCCGAGGACACAGTTATCATCCTTTGATTTTCGTTGTCTACAAATATAGTCCCTAGTTTGGACAGTGTATATATATATATATATATAACTTGCCAATTTTTTTCAAACACTTTCCAAATTTATTTCTTTATATTTTATGCATGAAATATTAAGTAGGGGGATGAAATTACATGTTAAAAAAATTTGGGTGATGAATTGTATGTAAAGTAGTAATTTTAGTCCAGTTAAAAAAGGTCAAAAATTAGTATGCCTGAAGCTGTCAAACTGAATTATAGACCCCCTTAACATAGAATTGTCCATATTTTGAGTTAGAGCTGGTAGACTATTCTATAATTTTGATATTATTTGTCTCAAAAGTAATATACTACACTGTAAAAATCTTTTTGAGATAGAGCAGGTGCGATTTTTTAAATTTTAATTTATTGTCTAAAAGAAATGCACTACCAAATAACTGTGTTCTCTGGCCATATATTCACAACTTTTTTAGACTGGTCAATTTAGAACCTGACATATAGTAAGATATTGTTATTTTACGTAGACATCTGTCATATGTTGAAGACTTAATATTTTGTCTTTATGATGTTATGATGTCTACAAGTCATTGGGTCATAGTCTTGTTGACCTAACCCCATATCTCCATATATGTAGTACAGTATATTTGTATGTTCAGGTTTTGTTTAAACAATGTAAGTGCTCAATTATACATGTATATCATGTATATGAATGTGACCTCAATATTTTGAACATGATGACTTTTATCAGACTGCATGATGAAATTTTCCTACTAATAGTATCTGGAATGAAATTAATAAAACTAGGGGTTAGATATGCAGAGCTGAGGTCAAAATGTTTTAATTTTGGTGAACATGTTAAAAGTACATTTTTCTGATTTTTCTATTTTTTTTTTTGTGTCATATAACACTGTATAAAAGAATATTGAATACTGTCCAAAAAAATTAGATTTCATATTTTTTTGTAATGAAGAATTTTTATTAAATAAAATTGAGAATGGAAACGGGAAATGTGTCAAAGAGACAACAACCTTGACCAAAGAGCAGAAAACAGCTCAAGGCCACCAATGGGCAAAAAATGTCTTCAATATAGCGAGAAAATCCCGCACCCGGAGTGTATTAAAGTTTGCATTGTTGAGTAATAATGAACATTTTGGAACCTCAAAGGTTAATATTTAGAACAATAAATCAACTATTTTTTAAAACATTACACAAAGTCCACACTCTGTCTCTTAAATTAATAACATGTATACCAGTAGATCTTGTTTGCGTACCAATGTATCAAAAATAGGAAAGGAAGGTCAAGTCGGTAAAGACAGAGAACATTTTTTCCCAAAATACTATTTCTTTTTAACTATCTTTTATCTAAACATCACAACAATGTTAAGATGTATTTAGGAACCAAAATGCAAGTGACCACAAATTAACATACACTTTTTGGTCAGACAAAGTATACTTAGAAGGTTTTCATTAGCAGCCGTTAGACAAGCATTTCTTTGCTTAACTAGTTACTTTCCATATAAACTTGCTCTTAAATGTTTCTATCACATAAATCAATTTTACCTCCAAAAAATGTTTGCTTTAATTCTCAACCATAATAATCTACTGCCTACTGCAAATATATTGATGTTCCTATCATAGTAACCATTATTGCACAAAGACAAATATGTTCGTTTTGTACAAAGTAGGACTCTACTTTAATTAAATGGGTATTTGGTCTATATTGATAAAATGAGGACACTTTATAAAGATAAAAAAGACAATATTTGGGTACCGGTAAACTAGTTCTATTCTGTCATCTTTGATTGTGAAATTGCAGAAAACAATGGGTCTGGCTTTATAATGCAGTATGCAAATTTTGAGACAGGAATGCAATTCATTTGTAAGAATTTTCATTGATATGAAGAAAATTGTGTAATGCACTTTATGATTAATAACGAATATTTTTTGTTTTTTAAAAAAAAAATTCAACTTACTCATATGATGGGGAGATAACTCAGGTTAATTTTATAAAGGAAAGCAAAGGATTTACCTATTTCATTTACAGCAAGAACCAAGTTCCATGAATTTAAAAATTGGATTTGTGCAATACAGGTTTGTTACACAAAATGTAATGCAAATTGGGAGAAAATGTAGTTTACTGAAGCCTGAAAAAAATATGTATGTTCTTGCAGACAGGTATTATTTTTGGGTAATCTAAGTTAAAAAGAAAAGAGCACATGCAGCAATTAGTCCCGGAAAGTTTTTAATTTTCTTTAACACAAAAGCACTTGAAATCTATAAACCTCAGTCTTGCCATGCTCATTTTCAGATGCATATGTTTGTCTGTACTCGGAGTAAAATTTGTGGTGTAAACAAAACAATTTTAGACTAAACATGCCAAAAGTAAAGCTCATAGCAGTATATGTATGTAACTTTTAAAAAACATTTTTACCTTGCATGTGAATTATTTTTGTAAGCTACAGATCCCCATCCTTCATGTCCTTTTAATGCCCCACCTACGATAGTAGATAGGCATTATGTTTATCGGTCTGTTCGTCCGATCGTCCATCCGTTCGTCCGTCTGTCCCGCTTCAGGTTAAAGTTTTTGGTCAAGGTAGTAAATTTGATGAAGTTGAAGTCCAATCAACTTGAAACTTAGTACACATGTTCCTTATGATATGATCTTTCTAATTTTAATGCCAAATTAGAGTTTTGACCACAATTTCACGGTCCACTGAACATAGAAAATGATAGTGCTAGTGGGGCATCCGTGTACTATGGACACATTCTTGTTTTTATAATTTTTTAATCAAGATACAATTATTTCTTTTTTCAGGAGGAGTGACTGGTGGATTAGAAATCTGTATAACATTCCCAACAGAATATGTTAAAACACAATTACAGTTAGATGAACGAGCCGGTGTGGCTAAACGATATAAAGGTCCAATCGACTGTGTTAAAGTGACAGTTAATGACTATGGAGTTAGGGGACTATATAGGGGTTTACCTGTTTTATTGTATGGATCTATACCTAAATCAGCAGTTAGGTAAATACATGTAGCTATATATAGTCTTCAAAGTCATTATAGTACAATTTAGTCTTAGAAAGGAGCACTTATGAATACAGCTTGTATATAGGCATTGAACCTGAAATTACAAAAAAAGTTTTGTGTTTAACAGCAAACTAACCTAAAAATTTGAATTGCTTTTATCATGTTTATCTTGGAGAAATTTATTGTTGCATATTTAGAGGCAATTTTGCTGCAAAATACTGTTAAGTTAGGATTTGTTGCAATGTTTTTATAATTGCAAAATATGATTGGACTAGATTAGTATTGCATACATGATACATTAGAACTCACATTTTAAATTCCGATAGCTTTAGTTGATAGCGGTATTTCCTGAAATAAGTGTGATTTTGGAATGAGATCATTTTGATTTGTAGCTTGAAAACATCTTGGAAAAAAAACATGTATTTTTATTGCTTTTTTTTTTTATAAACATGATCATGATGATTAAAAACGAATTTTAGCAAAATAGTACAAAAAATATCATCAAAAAAGTTTATGGCAAGACAAACCATTGAAAGGCAGTTAAAAATATCAAAGTTCATCTACAGTTTGACCTTGTTTTTTAATTTTACAGCTGATTAAATAATTTTGTTTACTACAGCATTGGAAAGATGAGTTGGTCATTCAGATTTTTTATCTGAAGAACTTATGGTAGGACATGTACAATGCACACATTGTGATCAGTTAGAAATCACTCATTCTGGTGAATTTAATATTGAAGGATAGTGCTTTTGAGTGATTCACCCTGAAATATCTCTCTGTTTATTCCATAGTGTTATCTCCTTTAATCACCACCAATCACCCTTTATCACTGGGACATCACTCAACACCAGCAAGGGTGATTTTTAAATAAAAACAAAAACCTGATGTGTACTGTATAATGTTACAATTTCATATGAAAATAAGAAAAAAGGGTATAAATGCCAATGCGACAACACTCCACCAGAGTCCAAATCTGTAGAAGTTAGCAACTGTAGGTCACCATAGGGCCTTTCAACAATCAGCATACCCATACTGCATAGCAAGCTAAAAAAGGCCCTGAAATGAAAAATGTAAAACAATTCTAATGAGAAAAGGGCCTGATTTATGTACAAATCAACAAAAAACAAACATGATATACAGCAACAATCACTGAATAACAGTCTTCTGACTTGGGACAGGCGCAAACAGAATGTGGCAGCCTTAAACATGTAAGCGGGATCCTTTGTAGTATTATTAGAGAGTGATTTTAACTACCTACGTCTGTAGTTAATGATGACAGTTTCAAATTTACACAATATATTTGAAATGTATATCACATCATTAGAAAAATACAAACTGTATCTTAGTTATCAATATATATTTACAAATGACCTTTATTACGACATTGTTAAAAAAAATGTCTTTCCAAAAGTCAATAATTATATCTTCTTTTCCTAAACGGTTCAGTTAGACTATTTACAAAATCCTTAACGACAGTTAATTACCACTAAATATCAATCAAACTCTGTGTTTTCTATTTCCTCTGAACATAATCGATCAAATCAAAGACTTCCAATTGATTTCGACGACAAAATTAAAGACTTTCTACGGTAGTTATTTGAAAGATTGTGCGTTTTATTACAAAAAATCAATAGAAATCAATCGAGGCATACTGTTAGTTCGTCCAACGATAAAATTAACGTCAGAAAGAATATCGTAAAATGTTAAGAAATGTTAAAAACTTTCCTGTATAATGCTTGTAGCAGTAGAACAAGCGTTCTTTATTGTTTGAGAGGTTTAAATTGTAAAGTTTATTTGTTATGTAAATTGAGGACATCTTAAATGACTGTTTTCAGATCAATGAATAAAATGAATGCATGAGTAGAAATACTAGTAAATGTTATGAAGCAATTAAAATATAAATAACATGAGTAAACTATTGGATCACAAAAGTTTTAGCACATAAGTTGAATGATTAATTACCTGAATATGGAATATTTGTAATGCATGAAAAAAAATAAGTTATAAAAAAAATCAAATTGAAATTTGATTAAAAATAAGAAATAATGTAATATTTTTAATTCTTTTTGGATTTTGATGAAGTCTTTTTGTCATGAGTTCTGCAGTCTTAATTGCAGTGGGGTTTCAAGAAATTAAATAAATTACAGGTTTGATAAATTTTTAGAGGATAAAAAAATATGATTTCTCTTTTTTATGCCCCCTTCCATCTACCCACCTAGGGTACATGAGATGAAATTTGAAAGGAACAACAACAATGAATTGTCCAACATACATGTAATGGAATATTAAATTATTAAATCATAACTATCATGGGAACATCAAATAACCATTTCAAGTGATTCACCAGCTTCATTGTTTACTAAATATAATATCTATTACTCTATGTTCAAGCCAATCATAGGGAAATCATATTTGTCTAGTTTACCCTGTATATTTCATCTTATTTCTAAGACTTTTTAGAACATCTATTGATGACTTGATGTTTTTCTGAATGCTGGATATTTCTTACAGCTCTTCTATAAAAGCATGCAAAGCAAACCTTTGATCAACTTGCTTGCTATGTTTGTTTGGATGTTTGTAAACAAAAGGTAGGTAATCTGTTTCAGTCTGTTTACTATATAATGGAATTTGATTGGACAATAAACATTAACTTCATTGCATGTCAATTTTTATTTTACAATCAAATCCCAGTATATATAAAACAGACTGAAACTCCGCCTTGACCTATTGTTTGCAAACATCCAAACAAACATAGCAAGCAAGTTGATCAAAGGTTTGCTTTGCATGCTTTTATAGAAGAGCTGTAATTAAACCTCCAAATTCAGGCTTCTAGATTCTACTTTCTAACATATTTCAGATTTGGTGCTTTTGAAGAATTTAAAAGTTGGTATGCAGTGGATGGTGTATTAACTCCCGACAAAAGACTATTATGTGGTTTAGGTAAGGTTTTGTCTTGATATAACATTATAAGAATGCAGGAAAGATTTTATCAGTTCTTTAACTGATATCAATTATTTTGCTTATTTTGAAAAAAAAAGATACTGAACTGGGCAAGAGATGGTAGAAAATTACACTTTTGCAAGGGGATGGAGATGTTTTCATATCAATTTTTATGATTTTCATATAATTTATTTTATTGGACGAAGTAAGAATTTTTCATTCAGACTATAATAGTCAGTCAACATTGTGAGTCTGAAAAAATATTTCATGTTCTTTTTTTTATTTTGTCTTTAGAATCAAATTTATAATTTTTTTTATTTTCTGATAATGACAGAATGGTAATTTCTGATATAAGAGAAAAGATTTTACTTTGGCAGTGGTATCATTAAAGACAAGAAATTCGATTTACAGTATCATCATTATTTTACTATTTTGTATTTAAGCTTGTTGTACAGGGGAGATTCACAATAATTATTTTATTGGTAAAAAAAACGACAAAAATTATTGATGAATGGAAAACATTTGATATTTGCATAAGAAATTGTATTGGATTTAATAAAATGAGATATATTTGAAAGTACAAATGTATCAAAATTTACATATATATCATGTATATGGTAAAAAAAAACAGCATCAAAATTTAATTAAAATATTCCATGCTGATCAGCAACAAACAAAAAGAGTGTTTCCTTGTTTATTTTGTAATTAAACTAAATGGAAGTTACTATATTATTTCAGAAATTCAGTACTTTCCTTAATAAGTATTTTTTTACCACAAATAATTATCAGCATATAGATATAAGAAGATGTGGTATGAGTGCCAATAAGACAACTCTCCATCCAAGTCAAAATTTATAAAAGTAAACCATTATAGGTCAAAGTACGGTCTTCAACACGGAGCCTTGGCTCACACCGAACAGCAAGCTATAAAGGGCCCCAAAAATTACTAGTGTAAAACCATTCAAACGGGAAAACCAACGGTCTAATCTATATAAAAAACAAGAAACACTTATGAACCACATCAACAAACGACAACTACTGAACATCAGATTCCTGACTTAGGACAGGTGCAAACAATTGCAGCGGGTTTAAACATTTTAATGGTACCAAACCTTCACCCTTATCTGAAACAATAGTGTAACATCACAACATAGAAAGACACACTATAAAATATCAATTGAAATGGCTTAACTCAATCAAGAGACATATTAACACCAGTGATCATACATTGAACAAATAAATTTGATCTATGATACAATGTAAATACAAAATAAATAAACTAAGGGAAGAATAGTTAAAGTAACATGTTATACCGCTGTGAAATGTTAAACAATTTAAGAAAAACAATATGATTGTACAAAAATATAAGACAATTACATGTATCTGATAACCATTCCATTCAGAATTTAAATTTCAATTGGAGTTGTCTCCCTTATCACAATATACAAACAGTTTGAATCCATGTTATTCCAGGGATTCATAAATTTTACACATTGTATGTAAACGAACTAGTTTTTGGGAGCGATTATTCATATGACTTTTGTGATTAGAAAAATAACATGAATATGTAATCTTTTAAGTTAATTCAGCAATAAAGTTGGACAATTGCAAAATTATGGCAGTGAAATCTGTCAGCTAGAATGAGCTAAAAAAATAAATTGGTTTAAAATTACAGTAAATTGCTTGTAGAATGACTTTCACTCAGTAGTCAGGATTCATAAATTCAAATCCTTATAGTATAATATGATACAAAACTACTTTAGTTATATGATAGTGATGCTTGTCCATCATTGAGGACAATAAACAGTACACACGAGGTGAATCAGTTAAAAAAACACTCTTGCTGGTGTTGAGTGATTCACTGTATGTGGAACAGGGTGATTGCTGGTGATATAGAGTAACACCACTCTGATTTACGACTCTGTTATATATTTCCTATGTGTAATATACAGAGAGATATTTCAGTGAATCACCAATAATCACCAGCATTCACTGTGAGAGTGATTTTAAACTGAATCACCTTGTTTGTTCTGACTAATAACCTGTAGATGCAGGCTTATTGGTGAACTTGTGTTGTCTGTTTACTGTATCATGAATAGAGCTTTAACATCTCCTTTTGTTCTTTATCAACAATTACATATACAATATATGTACATTGTCGGAAAATATAAAATTTATTTGTATGAGCTTTAGAAACAGGACGAAAAGCGAGACTTGCCAAGCTTTTCTCCTGTTTCGTAGAGTCCTTGGACTAATTCGTGCAAATAAACAGTTTTCCACACTTTTTTTTGTCATGCTTCAAGATATTGATTTGATAATTGATATATAGTTTAATCATGACAAGTAACAGATCAAGTTTGTATTTTAATCCAGTCTGATATATTTATAATCAGTTTTCCGCAATTTTTTTCATCATGCTTTGAAGATATGGATTTGATAATAGGTATATAGTTTTATGCTGACAAGTTACAGATCAAGTTTGAATTTTGTTGCCGTCTGATGAATTTGTCCGGAGTTATGGTCCTTGGACTTAGAAAATTCACTCAAATAATCAATTTTCCGTATTTTTTTCCGTCGTGCTTAAAGATATTGATCGGTTTGATAATAGGTATATAGTTTTATCTTGACAAGTTACAGATCAAGTTCTACTTTTGTTCTGGTCTGATGATTTTGTGCAGGGTTTGGTCCTTGGACGTAGAAAATTCGCTCAAATAATCAGTTTTCCACACTTTTTTTGTCATGCTTGAAGATATTGACTTGATATTTGTTATATAGATTACACCATGACAAGTTATAGAGCAAATTAGCATTTTGTTCCAGTACAATGAATGATTAACCGGTAGTGAACTTTGTATTGCTGTGCAATACTCTCAGAATGCTTGTTAACAATGGCATTGAGAATTATTTCTTAACTGAGTTTATTAAAAACAAATAATTTCTTCTTTTTTTTTTCATTTACAGGAGCTGGAGTTTGTGAAGCTATATTTGCAGTTACACCTATGGAAACATTAAAAGTCAAATTTATAAATGATCAAACTTCAGCGAACCCTAAATTCAAAGGATTTTTTCATGGTGTACGAGAAATAATAAAACATCAAGGTATGTTTGTTATGCTTAGGTTTTATGATCATTACTGTGAACTACTGTCCTTAGTATGTGCAAAAAACTATTTGAATCTTTCAAACTCTGTAAGAGTATTGCATCAATTTGTATATTTGTTTGAATTTTTAAGTCAGTTGTGTTATATGGCTGTGATGTATGTTTGCAATAACTTGGCTGCTGGATCCCAATTATTGTCACATTAACCTTTTATGTCTGTTTGGGTTGCTCACCCAATTTTGTCAATATATCGGAACTGTAAACAACTGTCATACTGATGCAACATCAGAATAAGGCAATTAACGAAAGAACACATTTTCCTAATTAGGAACCAAAAAAAAGAATGCAAAAGCTGCCAACATATTTTCCAAATAATTAAATAAGCTGCCAACATATTTTCCAAATAATTAAATAAGCTGCCAACATATTTTTCAAATAATTGAATAAGCAGAATCTTCCTCTAAATTTGAAAATTTAAGAATATAAGTACCGGTATGGTGGTTTCATTATAATACACAAGGTTACTAACTTTCATAAAAAGTTTGGGTAAAGTTATACCAAGAATTTAAATGTTGGATAAAATACAATTTATAGGCTTGTACATGTTGTATGCAGAATTGTGAAAACCATGAATTTAAGTATCCATGTAAATGCAATATTTTTCTCAATCCACGAAAATTCAATTCACAATATATCACTTGATTTGTGTCAGTGCTTTCAAGTTACAAGTATGACATGTATGATGAAATTTTTATGTTTTAGGTATACGAGGTACATATCAAGGTTTGACACCAACGATAATGAAACAAGGCAGTAATCAAGCAATAAGATTTTTTGTGGTAGAATCATTAAAAGATATGTATAAGGGAGGTAATCCAGATAAGAAAGTACCACTTTTATTGACTGGAGTGTTTGGTGGTTTTGCTGGTGCTTGTTCTGTGTTTGGTAATACACCTATAGATGTTATAAAAACTAGGTTACAGGTATGTTGTGTAAAATGTTGTTTTGAAGTTAAATTTATAATTATTGATAAAAATAAGAAAATTTTAGTGAAAAATAAACCATGAATAAATCTACTAGTATGAACTGTAAACTTATTTATTGCGAGCGATATTTTTTTTGCTACTTTCGCTAGTAGAAAAATAACACGAAAATAAATTGTCAGGAATATGTAAAGCTTTGATTTAACCTTAAAAGAGTACATCATAAAAAGTAGAATATCGCAAATATGAATCGCTGTGATTGTTTGATTGATTGTTGGTTGCTTAACGTCCAGTGGCAAATATTTCATGCATATTCAGGACAAGAACAAGTGAACAATAAATACAATAGGTAGGTTCTGTAATAGGGGCTTCCTGGATTAAGGTCGAAGAAATTTAGACTGCAATGGGAAATAAGGGTATATTGGATAGGGACAGAAATTTAGCCTTGCAACAGGCCACCTACGGACCCCTCAAAGAGTTGTTGCAAGGGTTCTTAACGTACAAAGAGCGTGGCACTCTCTTTACACGAGGCATCGGATTTAACGTCCCCATTCTGACCAGACGTGGCTGCAAATTTGTACATCCCGCACAGCCAAACGGACGCCCCACTTTAGCAAGGGTTTTACTGCCAGTCGGAGGAAGACCAATGGTGACAATACTTCTATTCCCCAGTCACCCTTGGGGTTGAATCGCTGTGAAGTCAGAGAGAAAGGCCTAAACATCAAATAAAGTGTTCACGAAAAATAAGTTGGTTTACAGTTTTACAGATTTAAATAATAAATTTGTGATAAATAGTTTTTAACTGAAGATGAACACATTTGTTATTATTTTTACTGCAGATAGTAAATTGCATAGTGTTGATTACATTATCTCCCTTGCTATATAGAGGTAGACATTTGTGGTGCAGTAGAGTCAAAACAGATGGAGGAATTAGCTCTTTATTTGTCTTAAAACAAAATCTGAATAATGTCTTTGGTCATAATACTGGCAATATTTTTGTCTGTAAACAAAGTTTTTGTATGGTATATAGTAATCGCCACCTCCCTCCATTCGTGTGTCTGTCTATCCATAAATAAATGAATATATAAATAAATAATCTTTATTTCAAGAGGATTATCCCATTAGTCAAAACTTATCTTCCTGAGAGTCGTCAAAATAATAACAACATATACATAAAGTACATACAATATTATAATGATATATACACAATATACAATTTTATATAGATATTAATGAAAAGCATATTAATCTGCCTTCTTCATGAAGAAATTGTAACATTTGGCTTTAAAAGATACAAGTGTATTACTCATCTTTATTTCATTTGGTAAACTGCTCCATATTTCAGAACCAGAATTTATAAAAGTTTTCTTCAAAAAATTTGTTTTTGGCTTCGGAAGTTTCAATAGGTTTTTCATCAGCTGAAGGTAAATTATAGCCATGTGCCTGGTAAGCACAACTCTTCCTAAACGACTTGACAGATATTTATAAAGCTTTACACATTTGTGGAACACTACCTTAGGATGTGCAGAAAATGATATATCCATGGTCCAACTTGTTAAAGGGGAGATAATCAAATTTATGTTCTTCCAGAAATTAATAGATGATGATGATGAATGGCTGCTTAATGTCCAGTGGCAAATTGATATGCATATTCCGGACGTGAACATGTTAATGTAATATGAATATTTACCCTGCTTTGTACTAGACAGACACACTGAGTCGGATTTTTACAAGGTAACAGTCTGAAGGCAGGCATGTCACCTTACCCGGACACATTATTCTGACTCCGAGCCAACCAGTATTTGATCTTACTCCTTAATGCTGTGTGCTTAGCGGAGAAGCAGTAAATACCAATTTTAAAGTCTTTGGTTTAAATTTATCGTATTGCTAGGTGTATCCTTTTTCATTCACTTACAGTTCTAGATTTTGTTGATATTAAAACAAAAGCATAATCATATACACATTAAATTTTCTTATTTCAGGGTCTGGATGCCCATAAATATAAAAATACTTTTGATTGTGCAGTCAAAATATTTAAGAATGAAGGTTTAGGAGCGTAAGTATTAAATGTAATGAACTTTTAATTTAACATTATACCATACAATAATTATATGAATCATACATAGTAAAAGAAATATATAATATCTAATTCTGAGCACAAGTCACATGTTTCTGAATAGATTTTTACATTGTTTTGGTATTGATCAGATAAAATTGTTGATATAGCTTTTGTTTACTCTGATAATCATAAAATTTATTTTGAAACAACAGATTAGAAACTATTTTGATTATAGTTTTTTTTATTCCTTTTACCATAGTAATTAAAATTTATTTTGAAACACCAGGTTAGAAACTTTTTAGATATCTGTATCATTTGAAATATGTGTGAAACCATAATACTTAACGTAGATATCATGGATATTTAAAGATACAATTTTATTCATTGCATGTTATACTGATATAAAATAATGGTAAACTTTGCTGTAAGTGAGAAGATATCAGTTATGCGTAGAAAAATTGATATATGTTTCATTAGGTATATGTACTTTAGACTTCTGATAAGACTTTTAACAAGAAATTTTTTTTTTGAAATGTGACCTGTTTTGGCTAAGTATAAAATTAAGGAGATTTAGAATGTTTCATTGATTTCCAATTAGACGACTATCCTCCAGAGTTCATAGAAAGTAGATATAAGCAATTATAGGTCATGTAAAGCCTTCAACAATTAGAAAAATACATACTGCAAAGTCAGGTAAAAAAGGTCCATACATGAAAAATTTGAAATGATTCCAAGGAGAAAGCTAACAGCCAATTTTTTTTTTTTTTAATTTAGAAATTTTCAAACATCCCTTCTCTATTGCACCTTCAACTAGTGATTTCAGAAAGCATAACTGCCTACATGGAAAAATATTGGTATTCAATTATAACTATTGGAAAATTGAGACTTGCAGAAGTGGCTTCTTAAAAAAGGTTATAGTAAAGTTAAGACTTTTCATTTGTTATCAGTTATTTATGTTTGTTTAATATTTTATGTTTTTTTTATTGGTACCGTCCCCAGACTTTTAAGAGTTTGTTAAGATGTAGCCATTACATTATATTTGTTTGATATTTTAGGTTTTATAAAGGAACCGTCCCTAGACTTAGTAGAGTTTGTTTAGATGTAGCCATTACATTATATTTGTTTGATATTTTAGGTTTTATAAAGGAACTGTCCCTAGACTTAGTAGAGTTTGTTTAGATGTAGCCATAACATTTATGATTTATGACAGTCTAAAAGCAGCAATAGATAAGATGTGGCCAACAAACTAGAAAAATACAGGTACTATAGCAATGCTTCCAGAATTCAAAACAGATTGGAATCTTCCTTTTATTCAGGAGAAAGTGAGCAAGGAATCTTCCATTTATTCATGAGAATTGAAATATGGAATCTTCCTTTTATGCAGATGGATGTTGGTGCAGCTGATATTCAAAGATTGGGATCTCAAAACCTTTAGTGTAGCGCGTGTAATAGTGCTGGTGTTTTAATTAGTTTAAATTGAAATATAATTATATAATAATTGGTGCAAAACGTTACGAGTTTTGAATAATGTTTGAGAACTACCCCAAAATTATGTGATAAATCAATTTTCAAATATTATTCAGAAATCATTAATTTCTTTGAGATTTTGTTGGGAAATAATTATATATGTACATGTATTGGTGAATCAATGTCTTGTTAAAAGCTATGAAATTTTGTATAAGCTTGTTACATACTTATATGTTTAGTGCATCAAAATCAATGAAATTTATTTCAAAGGTTTATATTAGCATTGATTTTGATGACTTTGAAAAATCAGCAACCAACCAAATAATTTTACAGGAGTAGTTCCCCTTGAAAATAAAAATAATATGGTTTGCATTGAAGAAATCTTATTTCTACATTTCTTGCAAGGTATTTATGAAAAAGTTTAAATGAATGAAAAATTTCAAATAGAACATTTTTTAGTTAATGCACTTGGACCGAAAAAATATTTGCATTTTTTGGGGACATTGGAATCATATTCCTTTTGTAATATTTTTTTTCAAATTTTTTGAAAAAGATACTTATAATAGAAAGAAATGGATTAAACTTTGCATGTTTACAATGTATTTAGAATATATTTAGATTGTATGATGTAAAAGCATTTACATGAAAAAAAAATTATTTGAAAATTCTGACTGTGTGGATTTTAGATAAGTTAACTTTGAAAGTATAGTTGTTTGTTGTGTGTAATCTTTCATGGATTTCACACGGTCTTTAAACCAAGAAATTCAGTATCTATATAAATGGGAATCTTCACTTTAGGCTGTTCCAGAAAATACTATATCTTCTGCCCAACTGAAAACTGTTTGATTATTGTTGGTAAGGGAGATAACTAGGGTTTTATGGTGCAAATATAAAATATTTCCTCTATATTTGGTGCAAATATTTCCTCTCCATTTCAGTGATTGAGCTGGTTATGTCACAACAGATTTCTTCTTATCTTGCATTAAATTTATACTCTTAAAGACCAATACTCATTATCTGTATTGTTTTCAAAGAAAGAATTAATATTTTATGCAAGGGAGATAATTCACAAATATCTGTATTGACTGGCAATGCAGTAGACCTCAAAATTTTACTGTTAAAGTTTCTGGTCTGAATATGGTTAGATCAGTTTATTTGCCATATTAAAGTCTAGGACAACAACACATTATTATATTATATCACAAAATTTTCCCTATTTTTTAATCTTTATTCTATGAGGATTGAAAAATTGGAGGTAAATGATAGGCTATACATGAGATGTAGCATCCTAATATACTAAATTTTATTGCAACATTCCAATGTAAATAATGAAATTTGAATGTTAAATTAGACTTCGAAACAATTCCTTTTTTTTTACACAGAAAAGTTTTCTATTAGATAGATAAACTTTTTTTTTCTGTATTCAATTAACTATATATTTCTAGTTTTTTAATTATTTACAAATAAAAAAGAGTAGTTAGTATTGTGAAATGAGGTTTAGAGTTTAACCATGCACATGGGAGGTGCATTTGACAAGGATATAGATAGTAGAATTGCTAGTTTTCCTGCTGAGGGTCAATGGTTCAACTCGAGAGCTCTCAGGCTTCTGCCACCAATATAAACCGGCCACCATGATATAGCTAAGCTTGCTGATACTGGCATTAGATACTAACGATTAATTGATCAGTCTTTTCAGAGAAGATTTTTCATTGGATGGATAAATTCTTTTTTCTTTTTTGTTTACAAATAACCGGATATGTTTCTATTTTTTTTTCATTAACAAATAAAAAGGAGTACAATGTAGTTGGTTGTTTGTATTATTAAGCATTATTGATTTGCATTATTGTTTGATAATATAATATTTATTTTTTTTTTGGTTATTTTTGCACTGATTATAAACTGGATTGTTCTTGACCTTGATGTGTTTTGAATGACTGCATGATAAATATAGGGCTTTAAATATAAAGGTATGAATAATCTATGGGTTGCATATTGTGAAATGCTTTTTATTTTGTTTTTAACCAGATATGAAAAATATTGCATTATTCTTGTTATTGATTTTAATCCATGTTTGAAAAGTAGGGGAGGATAGGAGTGGGTCTCATACTAAATTCCAGAGAAAATAAATGCCAAATGGAAATTTCTGTGAAAATAAATGTGTGCGTTTCCTCATCAAGATATGATTATATCCCAAATTCCTGACAATTTATCTGACTATTCCTGAATTCCCACGAATTAAACGGCTTAATCCCAAATTCTTGAAAAGGGTCCTTCTGCTCCTCAAAATAATGTCCTTGTGATTCAGATAAAAGTGTTATTTCTTATATGTATGTCTTATCTATTAAATATGATGAAAGAATAACAGGAATAACAAAAATATATTGGACAGTACAACTGACCACACCAACCACCAACACCAACCACCAACACCACCCTCCAACAAAAATATAGATGAAAAAGATGAACAACATAAAGATGGTTACCATATTTCCAGACTATAAATGTATTTATGAAGAAGAAATTAGAATGTATCGAAATATCACTCCCTTCATTCTTACCTGTTATTTTAGTTCACTTTTAGATAAGGAAGACATACTTTTATGCTAAGTAGATAACATATACTAAACTTCAACAAGTTTTATAAGATGTGAACCATTTGTAACGGTTGAACAGTCACAAACATATCTGTCCCTACATGCAATATGTGTCAGTCCCAAGCCAGCAGCCTAATGTCCAATGGTTGTCTTTGGTTGATATAGCAAAATTGTTTTTTTTTGCTCAAATCTTGCTGATAAATTTCTCTTTTTGATTGTTTGAAATTTTTTGTCCCAGGTCTTTTACAGCTTTTATAGTGTCTTGGTTTTGCTCAATGTTGAAGGCAGTCAAGTGATCTTTAGCTGTCAAATCCCTTAACCTTTGATCTCTGGTGGATAGTTGTCCCATTGGAAATCATACCACATCTCCTCATTTTTACATTCATGACATTGTTCTATTTAAATAATTAATTTACTTTTGCTCTGTTGTACGTTTTAAAAGTGATTTCTGAATCAACTGTTTAAATTGACTGTAGCAGGGAAACAATTTTAAATTGTTGGATTGGCAGTGACCACCATCTTAAATTTGATTGTCTTTGAATATTTTGCCAGTGATCTCTTGACCACATTCTTGTTCCTGATTGTCATTATCACCACAGCTTCAAATGTTAACTTTTTTAAACAAAAGATGTTAGTAAATATATGTATAGAAACATCCTAAATCTTGACCCTTCAATCTAGTGGTTGTGGTTTGTGGCTGTCTACCATAATTGTTTTTTGTTTATTGTATTTAGCATAAACTAGGCCTTTGTTTTTCTTTTTGAATTGCAGCAAATTTTGTCATGCAGGAGCTTCTTACCGCTTCCTCTAAGGCATGGGATTTGCTCATTGTTGAAGGTCATATTGTTCCCTGTTGTTGTTTATATCCTCAATATTTGATCTTTGGTGGATAGTTGTCTCATTGGCATTCATACCATATCTTTTTATTTTTTTATAAGACTTTTAGACACGAAGAAATGAACCATTCAAGATACTTCTTCAGTTATTTTGGTTTTATTGTTGTGTTGCTGTCCCATTAATACTTAACCCTACATTTTCTTTTCATTGAAAATCCATAGTTTCAAGCTCAGTACTTCAGATTAATGGATTGATTTTTTAGTCCATAATATTGTTATACCAGTGCAGTAAAAAAATTGTTTTATAAGTTATATTTTACATTTTTGTGCTATGCAATTAATGTGCAATCAATATTTTGTTTGTTTGTTTGTTTGGTTAATCAATAAATTGTTACATTGTTTACAAGTGTCCATGTTAAGTCTAAATATGTTTGATCAATAGCAAGTTTGATTTAAAATTACTTTAATTTCACTCAAGAATTGACTTTTGAATTTGTTGCCCATTATCAGATTTTATTCACAAAAAAAAATCAAAAAGTTTTAGTCTGCACTTAAGTGAGGGTATGGATGGGGGTTCATAGAATAGAGAATAATGGTCCAATTCTGCAGAAAAAGTGGACCAAAAAAATAAAGAATATAGAATAATGGGCAGAATTAATATAAAATAGAGAAAAATGGCTTAAAATATTAAAGAAAACAGAATTGAATGACCCCCATCTAGACCTTCTTAAGTTATGCGATGATTAAGGGTTGCATTGTTGTATTGTTTATGGCTTTAGTTGATGAAAATATGTTGGAATAAATAAAAGGGGTGTCTCAATAGTTTTCTCATATATTCCTGGAAGAAAGTGATATTAAAAATAATTTCGCAAATGTAATACAGGAAGTCAATTTTTCCATCCATTATTTGATTTAATCCACGTCAGATTTCACCAATATTGTTCAGGACAGTGAGTTTGGATGAGTGTTTTTTTTTCTTTCTTTCTTCGGAATGAAAGACAAATTAAAATTTTTATTATCCATTTATACTATTAAAATTAACAAAGGAAAGAATTTCTTAAGTAAAAAAAAGTTTGTGCTTTTATTTTTAAAGGAAAATTGTATGACAACTTTTGAGATAACCCCTAATGTAAACAATATAGTTCAAATAAATGTAACATGTTTTATTATCACACAGTTTAAATTTGTCAATTTCAAGGATAAAAGATGGTTTAAATTTCATATTTTTCTTGTCCCTGAATAGAAGTTCCATTAGATTCAATTTACTTGAGATAATTTCACCATGTTATCTTAATTGTGTAATAAGGGAAAAATTAGATCGAAAAAATAAAGCGCTCACTGATTTTTTTTCGCTTTACAGTAACTGTCTGTACATTTGCATAGTTAGTGGTCCTACTATACAAATCCTTGTTTATTGTAATGAAAGCAAATTATAAAACACTTTTTTCATGAATATTTAGAAGTACATGTATAACATTCGTTTGAAAAGGAATTATTGTCAAGGTATACATGTATAAAATAACCAAATTGAGGAATATTAAGATATAATTACCCTTTATTTATTATCAAAAAGTTTATTTTCTATGTCATGGTTTATAAAGATATTGTTTTAATTTCAGGTAGTTTAAAAGAAATATATTGTTTATAATTTGTACTTATTTATTTTTTTGTGTGATTTTTATATTTGACATTACATAGTTGTATATAAGTAAATCATATTAAAGGTTGCAATTTTATAAAATATATGAAATAAAGTGATATTATATATTAATCAAGTGGGCAATGTAATTTGTATTAAAATTTGATAAGATGATGTAATTTGTTTCTTTTTTCTTACTCAGTTTTATCAATGTTTGGTGCTGAATCTAATCAAGGAAGCCAAGTGGTCTGAGTAGTTGAATTACTGTATCACTAGCCTGTCAACACTGAGATTGTGAATTTAAATTCTACATGCGGCATGTGCACTCGACTCAAATCTTAATTCATTAGGATTGTCAGTTTTCTTATTGAAGGTTGGTGGTTCTATCTGGGCACACTGGTGGCTTCCTCCGCCAATAAAAACTGACCGCCACTTAATAGCACAATAGTGCTGAAAGTGGTGTTTAAATACCAATCAATCAATCAGTAATCACAGATTTGATAAGATGTAATAATTTGTTACTTTTTTCTTCTTCAATTCTTATAATGTTTGGTGCTGAATCTAATCACTGATATTGAAACATGCCTTTAGAAAGGGGATTCATGTAGAATGGAAAGGCATAAGACCATGGAAGCCAATATAATACTTCCATGATGAGACCAAATACAAAGAACAGGTGAAAAAATAAAATATATTCAGCCAACCCTTTTTTTTCTTTTGCTGGAAAGGGCGGAGGGGGGCAAACGTATCAATTTTGCTACTTCCAAAATTGGATACCTCCTTATAAAGAAAATTTTGAAAAAGTTTATTTGCTTGCCCTCAACCTTTTTCGTATTGTTTGTATGATATTTCATCTATTTTTTTCTTCTAAAAAGAAATTCTTAATTCAATTATTACTAACTGTGCTGTCTAAAACAATCTGTCAGGTAGTTTAGGCACTCTGACATATGTTATTTAAACAAACAGTAACTTTACAATACTTGATCAATTTTTTTACTTTGCCAGCTTCTCCTTATAACGGAATAATGATGAAAAGGGAGAAATTGGCAAACAATTCTTCAAGAGAGATTACTCTTTTTTTTTTAAATATTTGACAGTTCAATGTTTTCTGAAATCAACATTTTTTTCTGCTGATTTGTATTTGTTTGAAATTCTATGACAACAAAATCATTCATGGTACACACTTTTATCCTTAGCCAGATCAAACATTGCATCTGCAATTATTCCGCAATCAACCATGCTGCATTTAATAGTATTGATTGATTATTACGTACAGGCATAAATCCAGTAGAAACCTCAAGAAGTAAAAGGAAAGACTGTAGTGGACTCATAATGATGTAAAAAAGAAAATGTGGTATGATTGCCAATGAGACAACTCTTCACAAGAGACCAAATGACCCAGAAATTAACAACTATAGGTCACCGTACAGCCTTCAACAATGAGCAAAGCCCATACCGCATAGTCAGCTATAAAAGGCCCCGAGATGACAAATGTAAAACAATTCAAACGAGAAAACTAACGGCCTAATTTATGTACAAAAAAATGAACGAAAAACAAATATGTAACACATCAACAAACGACAACCACTGAATTACAGGCTCCCGTAACTTGGGACAGGCACACACAAACAGAATGTGGCGGGGTCAAACATGTTAGCGGCATCCCAACCCTCACCCTATTGTGAAAGGTCTTCCCAAACTGTTAACTTCTTATGGCTTCATGTAGCATGTTGTGAATGTTACTCAGCTTGTCAGTCTTGTAGAAAGCATTGTTTTGTCTTGATAATGAATGTAATATTTGCTGCTGGATGTTCAGTTCTGTTTTATGTAAAGTCAACACAAAGCTCGATGAAATATACATTTTATTGAAGGATAGGGGGAAAAAAGTAAAATACCAAAAATACCAAACTCCAAGGAAAATTCGAAACGGAAAGTCCCTGATCAAATGGCAAAATCAAAAGCTCAAACACATCAAACGAATGGAAAACAACTGTCATATTCCTGACTTATTAATGTACTTAATAGTAAATTTTAAAAATCAATTTCCATATATACGATACTGCAAAGTCAGTTTTAGGTCTGGGAATCAAAAAAAAAAAATACTCGGGATTAAAAAATAAAGTATGAGGTACACTATTATACAGTATTTAAGATTAAGTAAGAAAATAAATCTTTATAGCAACAACAAAAAAACAGAAGACGGAACATGTTATTTACGGTAATGAGGTTATTTTCAGGTGCACACTGATTTAAAATTTCGTCTTTAGAAATTCAAAAATTAGAAGAATAAAAATAAAAGTTAACTTTTCAAACCTAAACAATCACGAATAAAATGCAAACTGTAAACAAATGGTTGTTTATTAGACCCGTTTTTTTTTAGTCTCATATTTTATAAGACGATTGTTATTAGATTTCATTTGAGTTTTCTTGCATACTCCTTTTGTGGTTATTCATTTTTTTCAGAAATCTGTTAAATTGTGTTTACAAAACTGTGGGTGTATATTATATTAAGTTTTTCAGTTTATAGCATTTCTCGTATTGTATACGTCAATGAGACAGCAACCCAACGTAACAGAAAAACCAAAAGACTTTAAGTGGTCAACCATCATTAGCGGTGTTCAGCAATACACCAATCCTTATACAGTATGTTAAGCTCTAAATTGCTCCTCGTTTAATAAGTAGTTTTTGACAGAGTATAATAAAATTCTGCCGTGCACACATACTACATTTTCTTCAACTGAATGAAACATTAAGATATAACTTAGATCCATGAAAAGTCTTGTATCGGATTCAGCTGAAGCCCACCTCCGGGTAGGGGATTTTATCGCTGCGTTGCATACCCATTGGTGATCTTGTGTTGTTTTCTGCGCTTTGGTCGGGTTGTTGTCTCTTTGACACATTCCCCGTTTCCATTCTCTATTCTAAAGTCCGTTAAAATAATACAATAGTTTTTATTATATACGCTATTTGAATATGAGTTGGGTATATATATATGAAATGGTTCAATTATGTAGACTAGGTATATAATTTTATAGTTAAAGTTCAATTGATGACTTAACTCACGTAAAGACCTCGTGGCTTGCACTTTTGAATTCAAATTTCAAATCGTTTGCATATCATCAACCGTAGAGTGTATATTCAATGAGAGTTTAATTTATATTATCACTGAACAATGGGAAATAATTTACTAATCAAACGTTCCAAATACCAACAAAATAATAAAATATCGGTAAGTTATTCAATATATCTATGAAACTTATCAAAGGTGTCGATTTAATATATTTGTGAATTGGTAAATACTTATAATCATATACAGGTGTATTAAGTTTATATTGTGTGTAAATACTAGGATTTATGGTTCTTCAGTTTTTATGTGTTTTGAAAAGATCATTAAAATGGACTTGAAAGTCGGCGTGTGGTAAATAATGTTGAAGAACAAAATTTGTCATTTTTACCAAAAGCTGAACTGAATAACCAAAGTGGATATTAGCATAAATTTCAATTTCAATTTTATATTTACAATGCGATAGGACATCGCTTTGCTCCGATATTTAAATTGTGAATTTGCATTAAAAACAAAGACGAAAATTTATTTGAAACCTAATGCAATTTATCGCAGGATGTTACGGCTGTGCGCAAATATTTAGGATATTTTCAAATTACTAAACAATTTACATTTATTGAACAAAAATGACCAGTTTGATAAACCCCAGAGGAACTCTAATGGATAATTCGACAACAGACGGTAGTGGAATTGTTCAACCATATGCCTACAATTTTCAAAATGTATACAATTATGGATACGAAACTAAACTTTATGGATATGTTTGGCCTAGTCTTGGATTAACAGTTTTGATTCTGAACATCCTGATGATAGTGGTATTTATCAGAACCCGAATGAGCAGCACTACGCACATGTACTTGGCAGCCATTACGACATTGGACACATTGACAATTATATTCCCGTCAATTGTTTATTTCCATGTTTTTGTGGTCTTGGATATAGATGATTATCTTCCGTATAACTTATGTAAAATGTGGTATTATTTCACAGATATATTTCCAGTCACGTTCCATGCTTCAGCCATTTTGATAACAGTATGCTTAGCTGGTCAGAGATGCCTATGCGCAGCTTATCCTCTGTCTGTTGCACAATGGTTCACAACAAAAGTTACATTTGTGTCAATTGTCGGGTGCATTTTAATTGCTGTAATCTTTGAGGTGTCCGAATTCATTCTTTACACATTTGACCGTGTGGACATTTTTAGGTCAAATGAAACTATTTCAGGTTGCAAAATAAGCATTGGGAGGCTAGAAACGGACGAAGTGCGAAAATACCAAATATCTCATTTCATCGTTCGAGTCGCAATATTTGAACTTATTCCATGTGTCATATTGATAATTTTAGACATAATCATGTTGAGAAAAGTTCATCAGGCACAAACATGGAGGAAAAGTTCCAGTTCAAATTTACAGAAGAGCAGACGACGAAACAGTTCGGTGACGTCAACGTCTACTCGATTGACAATTTTGACACTTTGGTTTGTTGGTGTGTTCTTGATTGTTGAAATTCCGGTTGTAATCATTTTATCGATTTATGCTGCTGGAATGCTCCTTTCAAAAACAATTGTACCACTGAATGAACTTTACACTGCTTCGGTATTTTCAAACTTTCTTGTAATGCTGAGCTTTCCTTTAAATTTCTTCATATATTTTTGTTGTTCGAAGGCATTTCGAGTAGAAGCAATACGTCTTCTGACATGTAGAGTGTCAAGGAAAAGCAAAATGCAGAGGAACGCGTTTGATTCAGTGTTTCAGAGAACAATATCGTCACAAATTGATCATGCAAATCCTGCTTTCCAGAACTAGTTCGA